ATTGATGTTCCTGACTTAGATGAGACAGGGTCTTCGGACGTCAATTCACCTGTTACACTGACTGATAGTCAGATACCCTCCCAAGTACAAGGGTTTGAAAGTCAGGTTGTCAGAACACGTACTGGCAGGGTTGTTAAGGCAGTCGATCGCTTGATAGAGAACATGGTGCAAAAACCACTCACCAAGGGTTTTGTTACAGGAGTCAGAAGGTCACTGTCTTTCCGTTCTTTATTTTAGATACATTTTTGAGATTAAGATATTTTTCTTTATTACCAGTGGTATGACCTGGGTCATGAGATGTTCATATTGGAGGGAAAGTGTTCCAAGATCTCATATGGTGTATAAGGCATCATATTCACTAGAAGGGGCAGTAGCCTGATCAACTGCTGTTTTCTTTTAACTTACTTTGTAAGTAGCTTTATGCGCTGTATATGGGAAATGGAGTCCCAGGGCTATCTTGGACCAAGTGGACAAGAGTTTTATTCTATATGTTTTTGGTTATTTTCCACCCTCGACGTGCGAAGGATTTTGGTGAAATGAAAGAGGGGTGAATGTAACAGGTCAAAGAATTACAGATTTTTGCAACCGTTCATTTTCTATTTTTTTATTTTATTTTGTGAGTTGATTTCACCAAAATATTGTATTGTTCAGCATTTCGTGTAGTTTACAGATATTGGGAGAGTTAGTTGTGTAAGTGCGCCCTCTAGAGTGTTGATTTGGTTATATGCGGAGTTGTCTCATGCTTTTCTCAGTCTGCATTCTACTCGACTGAGAGAGGTATGTGTTCACTTCGGCGTGATATAAACTTGATATACCTGTTCAAACTAAAACGTTTCAGTGCACATAGTAACTTGTATGTATATTATATGATGAGTGTACATACATTTAATCAAGCTGTGTCGTGAATTTAGCTATTTTTGAGAGTTTGAGAAATTGCTAACTTAGCTAACCTCGTGTTTTGTTTAGCTGTAAGTTAGCGATTGTCATTCTATCCTCTTGTGTTGAAGCCCACGTTTCAGTTGTTTTTTTATGTTAGGCGGATTCTGGTCGAGGGTAGAGTTTTGAACATTTTCTCTCCTTGATGTTGAACAGGTATGTATTCCCTATATCAGGTTAAAAATATGTGTTCATTTAAAATGTTTTCATGTATTGATTAGTGTTTAATGGCACTGAAAAGCTCAAATGTGAAGGATTACATGTTGCTTCGTGCATATTACTGTATGTATTACCTATTTGAAAGATGGTTTATGTCATGTTGCACAGTATTAATGTAAAGGCTAAAAGCTCAGAGTTTTTGGCAGAGATAACATGCAATATGACACATGCATAAGATATACACCAGATGCGATGTTTATTTTCCAATTATGTTGTATTTTATTCCTTGGATTTTTGAATGTGATTATACTGAGTCTGCATTCTACTCGACTGAGAGAGGCGGATTCTGGTCGAGGGTAGAGTTTTGAACATTTTCTCTCCTTGATGTTGAACAGATTGAGAGAGTTGTACACAATAAAGTGCCTTCAAGTATGCCAGTGTCTTGTCTTCAGTGCACCGGAACACAACGCAGTAGTCGGCAACGAGCAGACCGCGCCGGCTACACTCGGACCAGGATCTGACCTCCATACGCACCCCCCTGGGACCCAGGAAGAGGCTGCTAGAGGCCTGAAAGAGACGGTTGGACACCCTGAAGGAACCAGAGGGCATCGAGGACACTGAGCTCTGAAGGTTAGTATTACTATATGAATTCTATGACAGGCAAAGCACTTTACTTTGATAGCCTACACATGCCTCAAACAGTAGAGGGAATAAAGAACACTGAGCTCTGAGGGTCAGTACAGTAGACTCTTTAAAGGCCAAATGCCTTTTTTAAAATCTCAATATCAAATCATTTCTGGGTAACAATTAAGTACCTTACTGTGATTATTTTCAATCAAAATGGTCAAAAAGAAAACAAATAGCTTCTTAGGAACAATTTTGCTAGGACTGTCTGGGAGTGGGGAGGGGAAATCTGAAAACGAGCTGTTATTGGCAGAGGTTTGGAACTCTCTTTCTTATTGGTCTATTAGCAAATTTACTGCTTGGTGATGCCACCAGGCAGGCCAAAACTACATCCTACCGAAACAGGCTGACATTTGCTCTTAAGGTGTCCGCATGCTTCCCAGACAAAACCGTTCATTCATATATTATGACGACATTTTGTGACTTTTTTGTTGGTTTTCGTCTTCGGCAAGGTTTTTTCGGCTGTTCGTGCACACAAAATATTTTCTCAAGGCAAGCTGAAGTTTGGTAGCCAAAGTCTACACCCCTTCGTCGGTGATTGATCAACAGTAGGGATTCTTCAATTAAGTGTATGTTGTCATTCAATGAGAGACGACTAGTTTTCCTGCACATTTTTTCACTTGAGAAATACTAGAAGATCTTAGTTAGATGTAAAATGTAAAAGATCTCCTCGGCAAAAACGGCAAAATTAATGACAGATTTCTTGAGTTATCGTAGATTAATTCTGACTGTTTTGAGGAAGTGTATACTGGCTACAGCGTTTCAAGATGAACAAATAGTACTATTGCCGCTTTTTTCTTGTTTTTCAAGAAAAGGTATTTTAACTTCGCCTAGCCGAGTTCTGCGAGGAGCAAACCGAACCTAGTATGCAGACAACTTTACACTGTAGTCCCGTGTAGCTCAGTTGGTAGAGCATGGCGCTTGCAACGCCAGGGTTGTGGGTTCGATTCCCACGGGGGGCCTGTATGAAAAAAAAAATGTATGCACTCACTAACTGTAAGTCGTTCTGGATAAGAGCGTCTGCTAAATGTAAAAGGACATTTTCACAGTTTCACAGTATTATTCCAACCTCATAGTGTGGAAATATACATATAGAACACATTATAATAATATAATATAGGCCACTTAGCAGACACTACAGACTGACAGTACAGTGAGTGAAATCATTTTTATCTATTTTTAACTCTGAGCCAGTACTAGCAGACTTTCTACCTATGTGTGTGGATGTAGATCAATGGGGCCATCTAGTGGAGAGCAGTATAACTACACCACAGCATGACAAGATTACATCATTTAGGACTTCAGCTGTGTTACTATTGAAATAAGCATACCCTATTATAGTAGATTTCTAGATGGGACATAGATCATATAATACTGTACGTGTTTTATTTTGTTTCAGTCACAGAGCAAAGATCCTTTATGGTCATTCAAGATGACACAGGAGGCCTAGACTTGGCAGTGAATGTGGTCCTGCTCTGTCTGGATCAGCTCTACTTATGAGATGGTGTTATGATCCACAGAGCCTGGCTCTGATGCCTCTCTACCCAGGGACGTTGCTCCCTGCCTGGGGACACAGAGAAGATTACACTGGGTCTGGTAGAGTCCCCAGTGTCCTGGTGCCGTGCCTGAGAGGACATCTTTAGTTACACGCCCAGATGGTCTGGCAGGGCCGCTGGTGCCATGGGACTGTGCCCACACACATACTAACACTGGCACACAACCTTGTGATTAGGAATTATTCTCCCCACTCACCGATGCGCACACACGTTGCCCATATGTAATGCTGTATTCCATTTGCAAGCAAGCATTTCATAATGTTTTTGTCTGTATATTTGTGCAAATGTGTAATGTTATTTATTTATTATTTATAGAAAATGTTTTGTTTATTACAGACATTATTGTACAGTTTTGTTACTTTAGTATGTATAATAGTGGTACTACAGTTAGCTAAGACACTAGGCTGCCCATGTCCTTAATAAAAAAAAAGGAGACTACAATGTCCCAAATGGCACCCTATTCCCAATATAGTGCACTACTTTTGACCAGATACCTATGGGCCCTGGTCAAATGTAATGCACTATGTAGGGAATAGGGTGCCATTTGGGACATATACACGTTCTGTTTTTAAGGATAGTTTGTGTTTTAATGCAGATACTGGAACATGGTTCTGTGAGGTTATCAGTCAGTCAGTCAGTCTATCTGTCTGTGTCTTCATCCCAAAAAGCATCCTATCCACTATGTAGTGCACTTATTTTGACCAGTGCCCTTAGGGTCCCCTATGCACTATATAGGGAAAAGGGTGCCATTTGGAATCATTCTGTCTGTGCTAAGGTAACTGTTATCTGGTTTTGCTGAGGGCCTCCAGCCCCGGGGTATAGTGTTTCACAAGAGGTCTGCCTGTGGACTGGTGTGTATGACTGTTCATGAATGTGTTTGTATGTAACTTCAATGATTATGTATGAATACCACCTTTGGGAAACAAAATAAGTCATGTTTGGATGTATTCTCACACACAACAGTTATAATAAAACCTTTATTACAATTAATGAAAGTTACTTTTTTGACACTGATTGTTAATATCTTGGTAATTGCAAATGCAACCGCAACGATGGTTCAGCTAGATAGGTCTTCCCTGCTGTTTCTGTCACTAGTGTTACAGTGTGATAACATGACTGACAGCTCCTGTTAGGAATAGAACAAGACAGAGTTGATGTAGACTAGAGGGACGAATGAAGGTCTGTCTGATAGCCTAGTGTTCTTATGTACCGTGGGTCGTGTTCTATTAGAGTGAAAACATTTTGAAATGGGGAGGTAATACCTGTCCAATTAGAAAACAGATATTTTAATTTTCCATTACAAAGAGTTTTGCTACAGTGTGCCCCACTGAACACTACCCTGCAACTCGGCTGAACAGTTGTAGTGGTAGTCCGGTCCACTCAGGATACAGCCAGTCCTCCTATTTCGCCTACCTCATTAAGAACACTGCAGCCAACACGGCACCTGGCCCTGAGCAGCTGGATAAAACTGCCAATAAAACTTTGTACCCTGCTATGCTAACATCAGTCCGGACCCTTTGTGTTCAGGGTACAATGTGCAGGCTGCTTTCCTCAGAGTCTGGACGCTGCCTATGAGTCTGTCCGTACAGCCACTAGACACACCGAGCACTGTCGCTTTTACTTTAGTTTGTTGTCGGTCAGGAGGGAAGCACAAAAGGAGCTGTCATGCAGAATGTACCGGAGGAGTGGAGGGAAGAACGGAGCGTGGGAGGAGGAGAAAGAGAGAAACATGTTAAACCATGGGAGGGTAGAAAGGCCTTGTTCCAAAGGAACACCGATAACTCCAAACAGGACATGGACAAAGGGAAAGAGAACGGTGAGAAGGAGAATGGAGAGATGATGAACGGAGGGGGAAAGGGGACGGAAGGGACGGATAAAGAGTCGCTGATGATGGAGCTGACCCGTCTGGTTCAGAAGACAGTGAAGGAGAGTAGCTGGTGGGAGAGGAGAGGCATCGACATCACTATCCTGGCCCTCGCCTTTCTCCTGCTACCCCCAGGTAATCTATACACCTGTCTCACACACCCGTCTCACACACTTCATACAGCCGTCTCACACACTTCATACACCCGTCTCACACACTTCATACACCCATCTCACACACTTCATACACCCGTCTCACATACTTCATACACCCGTCTCACACACTTCATACACCCCTCTCACACACTTCATACACCCGTCTCACACACCTTATAGTCCTTATCAAGGTCAACATATGGTATGCTATCATATGTTTATATAGTGTAGGTTTACCACATTCAGTTCATCCTACCTCCAGGTAAGACATCTACCTGCACACCACAATACATACACCTGTCTCACACTTTATAGTGGTCCTCTGTAGCTCAGATGGTAGAGCATGGCGCTTGCAATGCCAGGATCATGGGTTCGATTGCCGCTGATCCCGCCCATGTCACGTTCGTCTTCGAAATGAGCGGACCAAAGCGCAGCGTGTTGAGCGAACATCGTAGACTTTATTAAAGAAACCACGATCACAAACAATAAACCAAAATAGACGAAAGTGAAGTTCAACACTGAATACCACTATCAGCAACAAGGAAACAAAAACCCACAAACACAAGGTGAAAACACACAGTTTAAATATGGCTCCCAATCAGAGATAACGAGCCGACAGCTGACACTCGTTACCTCCGATTGGGAGTCATTGACGACAACATACAACAACCTAGAAATATAACCCACAGACATGCAAACATAGAAATACACCCAAACCCCAACAAAACAACATACACTCTAGCTCACATACACAAGTCCTAGAGCCAGAGTGTCACAGTACCCCCCCCTAAAGGTGCGAACTCCGGGCGCACCAGCCCACAGTCTAGGGGAGGGTCTGGGTGGGCGTCTGTCCACGGTGGCGGTTCTGGCCCCGGTCGTGATCCCCACCCCACCACAGTCACAACCTGCTTAAGTAGCCTCCTACACATTACCACCCCCCAACTACACCCCACTGGGTTAAGGGGCGGCACCGGACTAAGGGGCAGCACCGGACTACGGGGCAGTACCGGACTAAGGGGCAGTACCGGACTAAGGGGCAGTACCAGGCTAAGGGACAGCACCAGGATAAGGGACAGCACCAGGATAAGGAGCAACACCGAGCTAAGGGGCAGCACCTGACTAAATGGCGGATCCTGGCTGGCTGGCTCTGGCGGATCCTGGCTGGCTGGCGGATCCTGGCTGGACGGCTCTGGCGGATCCCGGCTGGACGGCTCTGGCGGATCCCGGCTGGACGGCTCTGGCGGATCCTGGCTGGACGGCTCTGGCGGATCCTGGCTGGACGGCTCATGGCTGGCTGATGGATCTGGCTGCTCATGGCTGGCTGACGGATCTGGCTGCTCATGGCTGGCTGACGGATCTGGCTGCTCATGGCTGGCTGACGGATCTGGCTGCTCATGGCTGGCTGACGGATCTGGCTGCTCATGGCTGGCTGACGGATCTGGCTGCTCATGGCTGGCTGACGGATCTGGCTGCTCATGGCTGGCTGACGGATCTGGCTGCTCATGGCCGACTGACGGATCTGGCTGATCCTGTCTGGCGGAAGGCTCTGGCTGATCCTGTCTGGCAGAAGGCTCTGGCTGATCCTGTCTGGCAGAAGGCTCTGGCTGATCCTGTCTGGCAGAAGGCTCTGGCTGATCCTGTCTGGCGGAAGGCTCTGGCTGATCCTGTCTGGCGGAAGGCTCTAGCGGCTCCGGTCTGGCGGACGGCTCTGATGGCTCATGGCAGACGGGCGGCTTTGCAGGCTTTGGGCAGACGGGCAGTTCAGGCCCCGTTGGGCAGACGGCAGACTCTGGCCGTCTGAGGCGCATCGTAGGCCTGGTGCGTGGTGCCGGAACAGGAGGTACCGGGCTGAGGACACGCATCTCAGGGCTAGTGCGGGGAGAAGCAACAGGGCATGCTGGACCCTGGGGACGCACCGTAGGCCTGATGCGTGGTGCCGGAACTGGAGGTACCGGGCTGAGGACACGCATCTCAGGGCTAGTGCGGGAAGCAGCAACAGGGCATGCTTGGCCCTGGGGACGCACCGTAGGCCTGATGCGTGGTGCCGGAACTGGAGGTACCGGGCTGAGGACACGCATCTCAGGGCTAGTGCGGGGAGTAGCAACAGGGCATGCTTGGCCCTGGGGACGCACCGTAGGCCTGATGCGTGGTGCCGGAACTGGTCGGGCTGGGCTGGCGACGCGCACCGTACACTTGGTGCGGGTGGCAGGAACAGGCCGAACCGGGCTGGCGACGCGCACCGTAGGCTTCCTACGAGGCTCAGGAACAGGCCGGGCTGGGCTGGCGACGCGCACCGTACACTTGGTGCGGGTGGCAGGAACAGGTCGGGCTGGGCTGGCGACGCGCACCGTACACTTGGTGCGGGTGGCAGGAACAGGCCGAACCGGGCTGGCGACGCGCACCGTAGGCTTCCTACGAGGCTCAGGAACAGGCCGGGCTGGGCTGGCGACGCGTACCGTACACTTGGTGCGGGTGGCAGGAACAGGCCGAACCGGGCTGGCGACGCGCACCGTACACTTAGTGCGAGGGGCCGGAACAGGCCGTACCGTACGGGGAACACACACTACTGGCTGTACCTCGGGATTAGGAACGGGCCGGACCGGACTGGTTACACACCCCAGTACCTCTCGCCGAGCCTCTACACCTTCCTTCCCTGCTTTTCCCAGTAGCCCCCTTAACCTGGTAGCTTCCTGACTCCGCCCCTTCTCTGCCTCCGTCAGCCCCCTTAACCTGGTAGCCTTCTGCATCTGCCTTCTGGCAGCCTCCTGCTGCTCAGTCGCCCAAGCCATGTGCCCCCCCCAAAAAATTTCTTGGGGTTGCCTCTCGTCCTTCCGACGTTGGCTCTGCCGACGCCGTTGCTCCTCTCTCCGTCGCCTCTCCTCTGTTTCGCTCCATGGACGGCGATCCATGCCATCCAGGATTTCTTCCCACGTCCAGGACCCTTTACCGTCCAATAACTCTTCCCATGTCCAGACCCTCGGCTCCTGGACACGCTGCTTGGTCCTTTGATGGTGGGTTTTTCTGTCACGTTCGTCTTCGAAATGAGCGGACCAAAGCGCAGCGTGTTGAGCGAACATCGTAGACTTTATTAAAGAAACCACGATCACAAACAATAAACCAAAATAGACGAAAGTGAAGTTCAACACTGAATACCACTATCAGCAACAAGGAAACAAAAACCCACAAACACAAGGTGAAAACACACAGTTTAAATATGGCTCCCAATCAGAGATAACGAGCCGACAGCTGACACTCGTTACCTCCGATTGGGAGTCATTGACGACAACATACAACAACCTAGAAATATAACCCACAGACATGCAAACATAGAAATACACCCAAACCCCAACAAAACAACATACACTCTAGCTCACATACACAAGTCCTAGAGCCAGAGTGTCACAGCCCATATGAAAAATATATGCATGCATAACTAAGTCGCTTTTGATAAAAGTGTCTGCTAAATGGCATAATATTATTATAATATTATTTTTTAAAGGTAAACATATAGCATGTATGTTATTATATGTTTATAAAGTGAGGTTTTAACACATTCAGTTCACCCTACCCCCAGGTAAGACACCTGTCTAACAACGCCAAAAATTGGTTGAAATGAAGTATTTTCAAACAGTTTTTCTCACTGGGTATTAGCCTGGTTAAACCAGATTGAACGATAGGATCAATAATGAGAGCAGCATTCAGTCTGATTTAATCGGCTAACGTCTTTATAAAAGGTAAGAATATGTTTGCATAGTTTTACCACATCTTGTGTAACATGCAGATTTGTTCAAAATACACAGGACATTATGTTATTAATCCATTGTGCTAATATTAGATCTTGAGCACTAACCTGGAACTTGATGTTGAGACAGGGACAGGGAGTAGAAATATACGTGTTCTAAGTAGACCAGTACATGGCCTCAATTAAATACTGATTTCAATAAGTCTGCACACACACCACACACATGCTTGATATCTGATACTCCCTGGTCCTATCTGGATCTGTGACCTCTTTCTAGGTCAGTGTGACTGGTATGTCACTCACCAGAGGCTATGCTTAATTTGACAGCTTGATAACACACTCATCTAGGCTCATGGTTTGATTATCTTTGGAAATTAAAGTCTTAAGATTCTAAATGCTGTTATATTTAGGATTCGAAAATTGCTTTACATGCTCTCCAATACCTATTTTACAAGGGAGACCTGGCCAAGAGAGAAGCTCAATAAAAACACATACATCAAAACACATTGATCAGCCAGTAAAGGGCCACATTTCTGTTTCTACTATTTACTCTGGCACATCGTATTTTAGTAGCACTCTTCTCTGTGCACACTGGAAAGTCCAATACTGCCATGGGGGAGTATTACTGTCAACATCGTGTATTACTGACCTTGTGACTTAACGCCTCCCAATGAGGCTCTTTGAAATAGGAGGTGGGGAAAAGTGGAACATTAGCGGCAGACAGATTTTGCTGTGTTAGGAATAGAACGGCAATCAAATCAAATCAATTTTTATTTGCCACATGCGCCGAATACAACAGGTGTAGACCTTACAGTGAAATGCTTACTTACAAGCCCTTAACCAACAATGCAGTTTAAAAAAAAAAAGTGTTAAGTAAAAAATACAAATAGCAAATAATTAAAAAGCAGCAGTAAAATAAAATAACAGTAGGGAGGCTATATACAGGGGGTACCGGTACAGAGTCAATGTGCGGGGGCACTGGTTAGTCGAGGTAATTGAGTGTGTGCCTTTCCAAATCATGTCCAATCAATTACATTTACCACAGGTGGACTCCAATCAAGTTGTAGAAACATCTCAAGGAGGATCAATGGAAACAGGATGCACCTGAGCTCAATTTCGAGTATCATAGCAAAGGGTCTGAATACTTATGTAAATAAGGCATTTCAGTTTATTTTTTTCTATTTTTTTGCACAATTATTTAGAAACCTTTTTTCACTTTGTCATTATGGGGTATTGTGTGTAGATTGCAGAGGATTTATTTAAAAAAAATCAATTTTAGAATAAGGCTGTAATGTGGAAAAAGTAAAGGGGTCTGAATACTTTCCGAAGGCACTGTAGTCATTTTAGTGTAAGTCACTTCGTAGTCTTTTAAGTCCATCATTTAGATCTTGGTTCTAGTTCTTTCTTTCTTGCAGGAGCAACCTGCTGTATATATTATACTGTATACCTTGGGTGGTAGGGGAGAGAGAGAGAGAGAGAGAGGGAGAGGGAGGTCATCCGACACTGTGAACACACAGCCGTAAAACCTACCAGCTCTCACAGTCTCATGTCAGAATTAGACGTTCAGCCATGTTTCTCAAACATCACATTTCGAAGTTGTTCCAAAGTCAAATATCGAAGTGTTGTAAGGATAAGTTTAGGCGTTAACATTTGGGATAGGCTTAAAAAAAAACTTTCTAACACTGGATTCAAACTTACAACCTTCGGAATCAGTGGCAGATGCTTACCTTTGGAGTCAGAGGCAGATGTTTATGCCCATCTGCCAACCTCGTCCTCAACTCCCTAGCAAAACCAAAACTTACTTGAAGATAACAGCGCACACTGTTGCCCCTAGTGGCTGGTTTCCATGTTATCTCCTGATGTCCTCAGACATGGATGGACATCGAATAATGACTCGTATCATGGGTGACCTGGCTGCATTAACTTCCCCTCCCTAGACCAGCATGAGTTCTTCGCATGCACACACAAACACAAGAAGGAGAGTGAGAAAACCACTGTACTAAAACATGAAGGATTATGGCTGTAAATGAATCCCGGATGTCAGTCATCTGGCCAAACAAGGTCCACCACAGGAGAAGGATCAGGAACATCCACGGAGACCACATGCTTGACTGAAGGAAGCTGTTCTAGAATGTGTTTCAAATGGCAGGTGTAGAGTAGAGTGGAAATGTGTGGCAACATTGTCTATTGTCTATCTTATGCTTATGTAACCTGGTCCCAGAGCTGTTTGGCATGACAATGACCATAAGAGTTGGCAAGACAGCACAAACAGATCTGGGACTAGGCTAATGCTAATGGATAGATGCTTACCATATGTATTCTACAGATCTAAGCTACTCTTCATATTGTGGAATATTTGCATTTAGAACAACGTTTGACCCCTATTCCCTCCCCTTCCCCATCTCCCCCTCTCGCCTCATTACTTTGTCTCCTCAACCCCATCTCCCATCTCCCACGCTCCTCAACCCCATCTCCTTAACCCCATCCCCCCCTCTCCCTCTCTCCTCCAGCCTTCCTGCTGCTGGGTTCATCCCAGGCCCTGGTGTTTGTCCTGGGCATGGTGCTGATGGGTGTGTCCCATGCTGTCATCACCATCAAGGGGACCCATCTGGCCAGTCACGGATCGCTGAGCGAGTCCCAAGCCTGGGCCGAAGTCTGGGCTGTGTTCTTCATAGAGGTGAGAGAGAAAGCGAGAGAGCGAGAGAGAGAGCGAGAGAGAGAGCGAGAGAGAGAACTTCCTGTTAGCCAAAGTGTTACATCAATAAATTCAGCCACAGTAGACAAACCAAGCTGGATTGTTGATCTCTATTGAACTTGGGTTACTTTTGTTCATTTACCTTTTTGACCCTAAATTTTATCTTCTAAGCATTATAGTACAGATGGGGGAGGCAGTAACGGAAAGGTCGCTGGATTGAATCCCCAAGCCGACTACGTGAAAAATCTTAACTCTAATTGCTCCTGTAAATCGCTCTGGATAAGAGTGTCTACTAAAATGTAATAACATAACTGCTGGACCTTGTCCTTAATTTGTCCTGTTTTTTTTCAACGTGTCAAGTATCTATGTTCATGACAAGCTTGTCTAGATATCAATCCCCATGTCTGCCGTTCTCTTCCATAGCACTCTATGAAAATATAAACATGTTTGTCTACATTTTCTAGTGTTGTTTCATCACACAACTTGATCACAAGTGTGTCTGTCTGTCTGTGTGCGTGTGTGTGTGTGTGTTTGTGTGTGTGTGTGTGTACAGGTGTGTGGGTCGTTCACAGCGAGGGCAGGTGTAACAGGTCACATTAAGATACACCATGCCCATACCAACGTGATTGGCCTGGGTGACTCCAGCACCTGGAAGATACCCTGCCTGCCCCGGAGTGTCTACCTGTTCATCGCCCCCCTGGCTGTACCTGTTATCACTCCTCTGGTGGCACTAGGTGAGGCACAGCCAGGGTCTGTGTGTGTTTTTCCAGGTGTAGTGTCTACCTGTTCACTATCTAAGATGCTTAATGCTCTGTCGCTGTTATATCGCTGTTGTTTTGAAACGGGATACAGTATATACACCTGTGCTTACGTAAGCGAATCATGTTAACAGGTAATTAAGTACCATCCTACATCGGTGATTGGCCTTAGCTCAGACCTTGGAGATACCCTGCTGCCGGAGTGGATACCATGTTACATGTCTGGCTGTACTGGAGTTACTCTTATCACCCAGGTATTCCTAGCCAGGTGGTGGTTTTCCAGTGTCAGTGGTATACCCTGTCTCTACTAAGTTGTTCCCTTAGGGTCCGGGCAGACGTTTTGAAAGGGAACTGAGCGGTAGAAGGAATATGTTTACCTGACAAGAGGGGTAGCCTAGCATTAATACAGGTGGATATACATACAATGCTCTCGAATTTGGGTGAGGGACTCGTTCCAGAGCGACGGTACAATTGGTGCCCCCTTCAGCTCAGTGGCAAACACTACATGTTTTTTTAACTGGGGTTGACGGGAAGGCATGATTTCCACGGAGCCTAAGAGGGGGGTTATGTCCACGGAAGTGGTGAGTGACACCCAAGCTGTCCTTGGCGTGTAGGGAGCTTATGCACATTGGGGTGCCAGGGCAGCGAACAGTTTTGACTGGGCTGAGCGGGAACTATGCTTCCGCAGAGGAAGGGGAGCCAGCAGGCCAGAGGTGGATGAACGCAATGCCCTCGTTTGGGTGTAGGGACTGATCAGAGCCTGAAGGTACGGAGGTGCCGTTCCCTTCACAGCTCCATAGGCAAGCACCATGGTCTTGTAACAGATGCGAGCTTCAACTGGAAGCCAGTGGAGTGTGCGGAGGAGCGGGGTGACGTGAGAGAACTTGGGAAGGTTGAACACCAGACGGGCTGCGTCATTCTGGATGAGTTGTAGGGGTTTAATGGCACAGGCAGGGAGCCCAGCCAACAGCGAGTTGCAGAAATCCAGACGGGAGATGACAAGTGCCTGGATTAGGACCTGTGCCGCTTCCTGTGTAAGGCAGGGTCGTACTCTCCGAATGTTGTAGAGCATGAACCTTCTGGTGAGAGCACGTGGTGCGGAGACAGCTTCTCGCCACGCCACTTGGTAGGAGCGACCGGTCAGGTAGGACGCAATCCAAGAGTGAGCCGCGCCGGAGATGCCCAGCTCGGAGAGGGTGGAGAGGAGGATCTGATGGTTCACAGTATCAAAGGCAGCAGACAGGTCTAGAAGGACAAGAGCAGAGGAGAGAGAGTTAGCTTTAGCAGTGCGGAGAGCCTCCGTGACACAGAGAAGAGCAGTCTCAGTTGGATGACCAGTCCTGAAACCTGACTGGTTTGGATCAAGAAGGTCATTCTGAGAGAGATAGCAAGAGAGTTGGCTAAAGACGGCACGCTCAATAGTTTTGGAAAGAAAAGAAAGAAGGGATACTGGTCTGTAGTTGTTGACATCAGAGGGATCGAGTGTTGGTTTTTTGAGAAGGGGTGCAACTCTCGCTCTCTTGAAGACGGAAGGGACATAGCCAGCGGTCAAGGATGAGTTGATCAGCGAGGTGAGGTAGGGGAGAAGGTCACCGGAGATGGTCTGGAGAAGAGAGGAGGGGATAGGGTCAAGCGGGCAGGTTGTTGGCCGGCCTGCAGTCACAAGTCGCAAGATTTTATCTGGAGAGAGAGGGGAGAAAGAAGTCAAAGCATAGGGTAGGGCAGTGTGAGCAGGACCAGCAGTGTCATTTGACTTAACAAACGAGGATCGGATGTCGTCAACCTTCTTTTCAAAGTGGTTGACGAAGTAATCCACAGAGAGGGAGTGGGGGGGGGGAGGATTCAGCAGGGAGGAGAATGTGGCAAAGAGCTTCCTAGGGTTAGAGGCAGATGCTTGGAATTTAGAGTGGTAGAAAGTGGCCTTAGCAGCAGAAACAGATGAAGAAAATGCAGAGAGGAGGGAGTGAAAAGATGCCAGGTCGGCAGGGAGTCTTGTTTTCTTCCATTTCCGCTCAGCTGCCCGGAGCTCTGTTCTGTGAGCTCGCAATGAGTCATCAAGCCACGGAGCTGGAGGGGAGGATCGAGCCGGCCGGGAGGATAGGGGACATAGAGAGTCAAAGGATGCAGAAAGGGAGGAGAGGAGGGTTGAGGAGGCAGAATCAGGAGATTGGAGGGAGAAGGATTGAGCAGAGGGAAGAGATGATAGGATGGAAGAGGAGAGAGTAGCGGGAGAGAGAGAGCGAAGGTTGCGGCGGCGCATTACCATCTGTGTAGGGGCAGAGTGAGTAGTGTTGGAGGAGAGCGAGAGAGAAAATGATACAAAGTAGTGGTCGGAGACATGGAGGGGAGTTGCAGTGAGATTAGTAGAAGAACAGCATCTAGTAAAGATAAGGTCAAGCGTATTGCCTACCTTGTGAGTAGGGGGGGACGGTGAGAGGGTGAGGTCAAAAGAGGAGAGGAGTGGAAAGAAGGAGGCAGAGAGAAATGAGTCAAATGTAGACGTAGGGAGGTTGAAATCCCCCAAAACTGTGAGGGGTGAGCCATCCTCAGGAAAGGAACTTATCAAGGCGTCAAGCTCATTGATGAACTCTCCAAGGGAACCTGGAGGGCGATAGATGACAAGGATATTAAGCTTAAATGGGCTAGTGACTGTGACAGCATGGAATTCAAATGAGGAGATGGACAGATGGGTTAGGGGAAAAATTGAGAATGTCCACTTGGGAGAGATGAGGATTCCTGTGCCACCACCCTGCTGACCAGATGCTCTCGGGGTATGCGAGAACACATGGTCAGACGAGGAGAGAGCAGTAGGAGTAGCAGTGTTTTCAGTGGTAATCCATGTTTCCGTCAGCGCCAAGAAGTCGAGGGACTGGAGGGTAGCATAGGCTGGGATGAAGTCTGCCTTGTTGGCAGCAGAACGGCAGTTCCAGAGGCTGCCTGAGACCTGGAACTCCAGGTGTGTGGTGCGTGCAGGGACCACCAGGTTAGAGAGGCAGCAGCCACGCGGTGTGAGGCGTTTGTGTAGCCTGTGCGGAGAGGAGAGAACAGGGATAGGCAGAGGCATAGTTGACAGGCTGCAGCAAATGGCTACAATAATGCAGAGGAGATCGGAATGAAATGAACTAAACATCTGGGAAAGGAGAGAGCGGGGCCTCCCTCACCACAACTCCCAAATATAACTCTCCCAACTTCCACCTCAGAAACTATAATTGTTTCACTGAAACACCCGAATATAACTCTCCCAACTTCCACTTTAGAAATTAGAATTGTTGTAAACTACAGCGGTTCAATGTTTCTAGGAATAGACTCTAACTTACTTTATTCAGCTAGCTAACTTGGTAGGCCTACAGTATTCTTCCATGAAAACCGCCCAGGGCACCGTATCCTATGACGCCATAGCTAACGAGCTACCAATAGTGTGTTAACACACTAAACAGATAATTAGTGTCCAGTTCCTTTCATAACGCAGCAATAATTAAACGTTGGCTAGCTAGCACAAAGTCAGTCATGCTAGCTACACAAGTGGACTACACATCTCGAATGTTCAGAAAGGGAAGCTTTATGTTGCAAAATTCTCATTGACTAAAATGATATTGTATTTAGCTGCTACAGTACTGCTAGCTGGTAGTGTTGGCTAGCTAGCAATGGCTGTGGTGTTGACTTTGTTTGAAAAACGGCGTCGCTGCGAACGAGTGTAGCTGGCTAAAATGATATTGTATTTAGTTGCTACAGTACTGCTAGCTGGTAGTGTTGGCTAGCTAGCAATGGCTGCTGTGTTGACTTTGTTTGAAAAACGGCGTCGCTGCGAACGAATGTAGCTGGCTAAAATTATATTGTATTTAGTTGCTACAGTGCTGGTAGCGTTGGCTAGCTAGCAATGGCTGCGGTGATGACTTTGTTTGAAAAACGGCGTCGCTGCGAACAAATGTAGCTGGCTAATAGGATATTGTATTTAGTTGCTACAGTACTGCTAGCTAGCAATGGCTGCGGTGTTGACTTTGTTTGAAAAACGGCGTCGCTGCGAACGAATGTAGCTGGCTAGCTAACCTCGATAGTTGATATCTTCACTCCAGGCTGTGATGGTGTAACTGTCTGTCTGTATTTGTCCCTCTTTCTGTCTCTCTCTGGTCTCTGCCTGTTTCTGTTTCTGTATTTATTTTTGTGTTTCTCTGTCCCTGTCTTTGTTCTCTGTCCCTGCATCTGTCCCTGTCTCTGTCCCTGTCCCTGTCTCTGTCTCTGTCTCTGTCCCTGTCCCTGTCCCTGTCTCTGTCCCTGTCCGTAACTGTATCTCTCTCTGTCTCTGTCTCTGTCCCTGTCTGTAACTGTCTCTGTCTCTGTCCCTGTCCGTAACTGTCTCTGTCTCTGTCCCTGTCCGTAACGGTCTCTGTCCCTGTCTCTGTCCCTGTCCGTAACTGTCTCTGTCCCTGTCCTTAACTGTCTCTGTCCCTGTCCCTGTCCCTGTCCGTAACTGTATCTCTCTCTGTCTCTGTCTCTGTCCCTGTCCGTAACTGTCTCTGTCTCTGTCCCTGTCTGTAACGGTCTCTGTCCCTGTCTCTGTCCCTGTCCGTAACTGTCTCTGTCCCTGTCCGTAACTGTCTCTGTCCCTGTCCTTAACTGTCTCTGTCTCTGTCCCTGTCCTTAACTGTATCTCTCGCTGTCTCTGTCCCTGTCCGTAACTGTCTCTGTCCCTGTCCTTAACTGTCTCTGTCTCTGTCCCTGTCCGTAACTGTATCTCTCTCTGTCTCTGTCCCTGTCCATAACTGTCTCTGTCCCTGTCCTTAACTGTATCTCTCTTTGTCTCTGTCCCTGTCTGTAACTGTCTCTGTCCCTGTCTCTGTCCCTGTCCATAACTGTATCTCTCTCTGTCTCTGTCTCTGTCCCTGTCCGTAATGGTCTCTGTCCCTGTCCATAACTGTATCTGTCTCTGTCTCTGTCCGTAACTGTATCTGTCTCTGTCCCTGTCTCTGTCCCTGTCCATAACTGTATCTCTCTCTGTCTCTGTCTCTGTCCCTGTCCGTAATGGTCTCTGTCCCTGTCCGTAACTGTATTTGTCTCTGTCCCTGTCTCTGTCCCTATCTGTAACTGTCTCTATCCCCGTCTCTGTCCTGTTCCGTAAGTGTCTCTGTCCCTGTCTCTGTCCCTGTCCATAACTGTATCTGTCTCTGTCCCTGTCCCTGTCCGTAACTGTGTCTCTGTCCCTGTCCCTGTCCGTAACTGTGTCTCTGTCCCTGTCTCCGTCTGTAACTGTATCTGTCTCTGTCCCTGTCCGTAACTGTCTCTGTCTGTAACTGTATCTGTCCCTGTCCCTGTCCCTGTCTCTGTCTCTGTCTCTGTCTCTGTCCCTGTCCGTAACTGTATCTGTCTCTGTCCTTGTCTCTGTCCGTAACTGTATCTGTCCCTGTCTCTGTCCGTAACTGTCCCTGTCCCTGTCCCTGTCCCTGTCCCTGTCCCTGTCCCTGTCCCTGTCCGTAACTGTATCTGTCTCTGTCTCTGTCTCTGTCCTTGTCTCTGTCCGTAACTGTATCTGTCCCTGTCTCTGTCCGTAACTGTATCTGTCCCTGTCCGTAACTGTCTCTGTCTCGACAACGAAGCTTCGGACGTCATTCAAATCAAATCAAATTGTATTTGTCACATACACGTGTTTAGCAGATGTTATAGCGGGTGTAGCGAAATGCTTGTGCTTCTAGCTCCGACAGTGCAGTAATATCTAACAATTTCACAACATATACCCAACACACAAAAAAGGTAAGGATTGGGATTTAAGAATATATACATATATGGACAAGCAATGACAGAGCGGCATGGACTAAGATACAGAAGAATATTATAGAATAGAATGCAGTATATACATATGAGATGAGTAGTGCAAGATATGTAAACATTATTAAAGTGACTAGTGTTCCATTTCTTAAAGTGGCCAGTGATTTCAATAGGCAGCAGCAGCCTCTAATGTGCTAGTGATGGCTATTTAACAGTCTGATGGCCTTGAGATAGAAGCTGTTTTTCATTCTCTCGGTTCCAGCTTTGATGCACCTGTACTGACCTCGCCTTCTGGATGATAGCGGGGTGAACAGGCAGTGGCTCGGGTGGTTGATGTCCTTGATGATCTTTTTGGCCTTCCTGTGACATCGGGTTCTGTATGTGTCTTGGAGGGCGGATAGTTTGCCCCCGATAATGCGTTCGGCAGACCGCACCACCCTCTGGAGAGCCCTGCGGTTGTGGGCGGTGCTGTTGCCGAACCAGGCGGTGATACAGCCCGACAGGATGCTCTCAATTGTGCATCATTAAAAGTTTGTGAGGGTTTTAGGTGATAAGCCACATTTCTTCAGCCTCCTGAGGTTGAAGAAGCTCTATTGCGCCTTCTTCACCACACTGTCTGCGTGGGTGGACCATTTCAGTTTGTCGGTGATGTGTACGCCAAGGAACTTGGAGCTTTCCAGCTTCTCCACTGCGGTCCCGTCGATGTGGATAGGGGGGTGCACCCTCTGCTGTTTCCTGAAGTCCACGATCATCTCATTTGTTTTGTTGATGTTGAGTGAGAGGTTATTTTCCTGGCACCACACTCCCAGAGCCCTCACCTCCTCCCTGTAGGCGGTCTCGTCATTGTTGGTAATCAAGCCTACTACTGTTGTGTCGTCTGCAAACTTGATGATTGAGTTGGAGGCGTGCTTGGCCACGCAGTGGGGCCCCAGTGTTGAGGATCAGCGAAGTGGAGATGTGGTTTCCTACCTTCACTACCTGGGGGCGGCCCGTCAGGAAGTCCAGGACCCAGTTGCACAGGGCGGGGTTTCAGACTCCGGGTCTTGAGCTTAATGATGAGCTTGGAGGGTACTATGATGTTGAATGCTGAGCTATAGTCAATGAACAGCATTCTTACATAGGTATTCCTCTTGTCCAGATGGGATAGGGCAGTGTGCAGTGTGATGGCAATTGCATCGTCTGTGGATCTATTGGGGCGGTAAGCAAATTGAAGTGGGTCTAGGGTGACAGGTAAGGTAGAGGTGATATGATCCTTGACTAGTCTCTCAAAGCACTTCATGATGACAGAGGTGAGTACTACAGTTCAGTTACCTTTGCTTTCTTGGGTACAGGAATGATGGTGGCCCTCTTGAAGAATGTGGGAACAGCAGACTGGGAAAGGGAGAGATTGAATATGTCCATGAACACACCAGCCAGCTTTGATCACATTCTTCTGATAATGCGATTCAAGCATCGGCACACTGCTTCGAAATAAACTGCCAGTGATTTCGACACATGCCCCGGAGCTCCGGTATCAATATTGTAACCAGTTTATGTCAAAGTCTTATGTAAAGAAAGTGTTTGGAATCATTATTTCATGTTATGGAATGAACTTAATTAATATATTGATTAACAGGAAATGTATTTAATTGCTCTAATTTGTGTGTGTGTGTGTGCGTTTGTGCAAGTAGAAAAAAACATGTTGACTCACCCTACTTGTAGAGAAACGCCAATGCCATCCTCCTCTCGTTCTTGTTGATGAAACGGTCTATAACTCTGTCATACAGTACACGCTTTTATTTTTTGTTGTCCTAGGCTACCTGGCTAAAATGCTTGCTCGCTAGCCTAACTTCCTTTCATGGGCAACGTTAGCTAGTTAACATTAGCCTTCTACATCTAGCTACATATTGAACTTCCATCCTCTCAGTCCAGGGGCACAATGTATTTTATGGTTGGATCAGAATCGCCATTATAATCATTGGCCAGTATGGAGAATTAAGTAAAACCACAAGTCCAAATCCCTACCTACATTCATGGTTAATTTAGGAAAGGGCCAATTTTAGCTAGCTAGCTACTGGAGGACAACAAAACAATGAGATGCAACAATTCAAGTTGTTTCTATCAATGACGTATTTCTCTGAAGCCAAATCCAAACTGGCTTCCCTTGACACTTTTTTTTGGTTTTGGTGCGCCAGGACCATTCACAGTTGAGCTCACTCAGTTTAGCTCAACGCAGATTGGCTATTATTTAAAATATATATATATATATATATCAAGGGAGGCCAAATGCTCGCTGGTTTTCCTTGTATTCATTACTACGGCGGCAACAATGTCATACTCTTTATGACCAGACCGCATCAGATAGATGGCCTACACATCCAGAGACAGAGGAGCGCTGTTCCGCTCACTCGTATGCTTTCTCCGGTGAGATACATTACGAGATACATTCAGAGATTAAATACATTTTCTTTTTTTCTTTGTAAATGTTTTGGGGAAGCCTGGCTTCCCTTAGCATCCATGAATACACGCCACTGCACAGAACGCACTGCAACTGCCTCTGCAACACAATGCTGCAAGGCAAACGCAGCGTTCCATTGGAAATGAATGTACTTCTGGTGTACCAAAACGCAATGATGCTGTTGGTGTGATCGAGGTGTAAGCAGTTTTTCACCTGATTGGTTTGGTATTGGTTTTGGTAGAAGACAAAAAGGCTACCCTGCGCACGTGCTACGGCGTGTGCAACGTCATCTATAATAATCTGTCTGTTCAAAATTATTTTCACCAGCAGGTGCCACTAGTGTACAACGTGTTGATCAAAGCCTGGAGTAATGAACCTATTTTAGACACAATTGGCTGGAAACACTCAATGCTTCAGGAAGCTTTGTTTCCCCATCAACACCTGTAAGTGCTCAATTGGGTTGAGATCTGGTGACTGAGACGGCCTTGGCATACGGCTTACATCGTTTTCATGCTCATCAAACCATTCAGTGACCACTCGTGCCCTGTGGATGGGGGGCATTGTCATCCTATGGGAGCTTAGCTATGGTAGCAAAATGAATGGCCCAAATAATGGTGTGCCCAGCATTTTTATACATGACATGGAGCATAATGGGATGTTAATTGCTTAATTAATTCAGGATCCAAACCTTTTTGGAAGCATCTGCATTCAATATACTTTGTATCCCTCATTTACTCAAGTGGTTTCATTATTTTGGCAGTTACCTGTATATTTCAAGTTGCAACCCATATTTCTTTAAACACTCAACTTACTTTTCCCTTTTGGTTAAACCTAATAAAAAACATAAATACAAACTAATACACTGAGTGTACAAAACATTAGGAACACCTTCCTAATACGGAGTTGCACCCCCCCCCCCCCTAATTGTAACCAAATGGTGACTCTCTCATCAGAGATTACAAGCTCTTTAGTATCACAGTACTTATGCAGCTATCATTTAAGATTGAGTGCCGGAAGTGAACTGAACATATAATCATTAAAAAAACACACAAAAAACCTAACACATTACCTGCAATGACGTTCACTCTCACGGATGGCACGCCCCCAATAGACCACGCCTCCAACTCTTCTGATAGGCTGCCGCTGCTACATTGCACCCACCACTATGCAATGCGACTGTGCATGACGTGTTGAAAGCAATTTAGAAGCTTTCATTCAATTAATAAAATCACATTGATCTGTCAAATTCATTTTTTTTTATTTCAGACTAATAGAATATGTTGTATGAACCAAAGCGTGATTTTTGGATCATACCAATCAGAAAAAGCCCTTCAGCTGAGCAACAGTACCATCCCACTTTTAGAGTGTTTGTGTGTTGTACAGGAGGCTACCTGGAATGGCCGGAACGGAGCAAATAGAATGGCATCAAACACCTGGAAACCAAGTGTTTGATGTATTTGATACCATTCCACTGATTCCGCTCCAGTCATTACCACGAGCCCGTTCTCCCCAATTAAGGTGCCACCAACCTCCTGTGGTGTGTTGTAACTGATTGTGTCTGTCCCTGACTGTGACTGTATCTAACTGAGTTGTCTGTGTTGGTCTGTTGTAGGTCAGCTGAAGGAGCACTCAGTAGGCCAGGCCCTGAGGACAGTCCTGATGGTGTTCCTGGGGTTGTACGCTCAGTACTGGCTGTTGATTCATGTCTCTGGGTTCCAGTTTCTTTACAGCACCCTCCTCTGTATGCTGCTCTGCAGGGCCATGTTCTCCCTGCCCTACATACACGTTAACATCTTCCAGGTGAGAAAGCATGTACACACATTGATAAAGGCAAGCACGCACCCTCAGCAAAGTATAGAATCAATGGGTAACTGCCGATTTGGCCAGTATTATTTGGGCTAGTATTTGGTCAAACTGTTGCAGAGAAACAATGACGGGGTACATGTTATTCAGGGTGGAGCACCAGTTATGAAGGAAAAACATCTCCTCCAATATGTTGTTTCTCCGTTTGTGTTGCTATTGATGGCAGCAGTCTTGTCTCCATCCTTCCCGGTACTCCCACTGTGGGTGGGCGCTTATATTTGTCCTATTTCACACATGTACAAGTGTATATTAATACACGTGTGAATTTGACCCTGTACTGTTAAGACCATTGTAGAGGCATGTAACTGAATGGTGGGCCCATAGAGATAGAATAGCATCTGTCTATGGGTAGACCTCCAGCAGACAGATCACACTAGACTCTGCATCTCATCTTCTACTACATTGCAAATGTGTCCAGGGCAGCAGAATCATGCCAACAGTTTCTCTCTGGGTCTTTTTCCCTTTAAGTGAATCAGAGGGGGCACACACACACACACCTTTCCATTAAACCGTCCTCTCCTGTTCCGTACAGCACATCGGCCTGCCTATGTTCTCCCCGACCCGTCGGCCCAAGAGGATTTACCAGATGACCCACGGGGTTCTGAACCTTCCTCGGAACCCCCTGCTGGACTGGACCTTTGGACACTCCCTCATCAACTGTCACGTGGAACACCACCTGTTCCCCTTCCTCTCCGACAACATGTGTCTCAAGGTACAATGCAGACAACGTGTATCTCAACATATGATACAACTTGTGTCTCAAGGTACAATGCAGACAACGTGTATCTCAACATACGATACATGTGTCTCAAGGTACAATGCAGACAACGTGTATCTCAACATACGATACATGTGTCTCAAGGTACAATGCAGACAACGTGTATCTCAACATACAATACAACATGTGTCTTAAGGTACAGTACAGACAACCAGGGTTGGGGTCAATTCCAATTTAATTTCTAATTCCAAATTCAATTCTCGAATTCAAGCAGGAAGTGGAACATTTTATTGGAATTGAATTGGAATTGCAGCAATCTACATTTTTGTTATTGGAATTTAATTGGAAATTTAGACTGTCTTAATTTGAATTAAATGTGTACATTTTAATTGAACAAGAACCATCCTTGGAATGGAATTGGAATTTAGACTGTCTGAATATTAATTGAATTGGAATTGAAGAAGAAAACCATCCTTGGAATGGAATTTAAATTGAATTGGAATTTAGACTGTGTTGAATTTGAATTGGAAAATAAAAATATCCTCAGAATGGAATTGGAATTTAGAATTTTAAAACTGGAATCATGTTGTAATTGTTCAAATCCCAGTTACTGGAGGTGATGCATTTAGCATTGAAATTGAATGCAAACTTTGTTTTCAATCGATCAAGTAATTATAATTGTATACATTACTAATATATACATAATTATATCTATATAATTATATACCCCATTTTTTAAATGTTTACTAATGAGGAGTTGACGTACAATATATTTCTGGTTAGGTTATTTAAAGGAATAGATCACACAATTTACATATTGGTTTCCTTACCCTTAAGCAGTCTATGAATTATGACATTGTAATTTTGTAATTTGGGTGTATCCCTTAAAGGGGAATAACAGCAAATTTCAAAAATGTGCTAGCTAGCACACGGTGTCCTTAACTAGCAAGCTAGTTAGTTAGCTAACACATGGTGTTGCCCCATCCTCCCGCCTGCTGTGCCAGCGGGAGGCGGAGGCGACCGGTAGACTGTGTCCTTCGCCCCCACCTGTCCGTCACGGTTTTCTCTGGTACACAGCAGGCAGTAGGCAGGGGCGACACCGTGTGCTAGCTAACTAGCAAGCTAGCACACAGGGTCGCTAACTAGCAAGGTAGCTAGCACATGGTGTCCTTCCACCTGCTGTGCTAGCGGTTAGCTAGCAAGGATGACTCCAAAAGGCGTGGGCGAAAAAACTCAGATAATACTTTTATTTCCCTTTTGACCCACATATAAAAGTGTGTGTGTGTGGGGGGGGGGGGAAGCCCACATGCAGGAACGCCCCCGAATTGCGGGCTGCAGTTGCACTCTACTGAAAATGTGTCTGTGTTCCTAAACCCATCTGACTCGTTGTTGGACTGTCTGTCAAAGTGCGCACCTCTCTCACAGGAAGAGCGAGAGCGAGGTAAGGCTAGAGCGAGAGCTACGTCACAGGGTTATACAACCCCTGCAGTGCTAGATAGAACTTTGTGGAATAACGCAAATCTACGATAAATATAAACGTTCTGTCACAGCAAAAATACTATCCTGAACAAAAACATAAATGCAACATGCAACAATTTCAAAGATTTTACTGAATTACAGTTTATATAAGGAAATCAGTCAATTGAAATGAACTTATTGGACCTTAATCTATGGATTTCACATGACTGGTCACAGATACCTTACAAAAAAAAGTAGGGGCGTGGATCAGAAAACCAATCAGTATCTGGTGTGACCAGCATTTGCATCATGCAGCGCGACACATCTCCTTCACATAGAGTTGATCAGGCTGTTGATTGTGGCCTGTGGAATATTATCCCACTCCTCTTCAATGGCTGTGAGAAGTTGCTGGATATTGGCGGGAACTGGAACACACTGTGGTACACGTCGATCCAGAGCATCCCAAACATGCTCAATAGGTTACGTCTGGTGAGTATGCAAGGCATGCTCATCAGACATGTCAGCTTCCAGGATTTGTGTACAGATCCTTGCGACATGGGGCTGTGCATTATCATGCTGAAAGATGAGGTGATGGCAGCGGATGACTGGCACGACAATGGGCCTCAGGATCTCGTCACAGTATTTCTGTACATTCAAATTGCCATTGATAAAACGCAATTGTGTTCGTTGTCTGTAGCTTATGCCTGGCCATACCATAACACCACCGCCACCATGGAGTACTCTGTTCACAATGTTGAAATAAGCAAACCGCTTGCCCAAATGACGCCATACACGTGGTCTGCGGTTGTGAGGCGGGTTGGACGTACTGCCAAATTCTCAAAAACGATGTTGGAGGCAGCTTATGGTAGAGAAATGAACATTACATTATCTGGCAACAGCTATGGTGGACAATCCTGTAGTCAGCATGCCAATTGCACACTCCCTCAAAACTTGAGACATCTGTGGCATTGTGTTGTGTGACAAAACTGCACATTTTAGAGTGGCCTTTTATTGTCCCCAGCACAAGGTGTACCTGTGTAATGATCGTGCTGTTTAATCAGCTTCTTGATATGCCACACCTGTCAGGTGGATGGATTATCTTGGCAAAAGAGAAATGCTCACTAACAGGGATGTAAACAAATTTGAGAGAAATAAGCTTTTTGTATGTATGGAAAATGTCTGGGATCTTTTATTTCAGCTCATGAAACATGGGATCAACACTTTATATGTTGCGTTTATATTTTGGTTTAGTGTAAATTCCGGAAGTCCAATCGATTGTGAGATATGGCATATACATTTTATGTGATCAATTTGGGTCGCGGGTAGAGCTGTGGTGGTCATGAAATCTTGTCAGCTGGTGATTGTCAAGCAAATAACTGCAGGACTCAAGTAATTCACCATTAATTACCAACACATTTAGCATCTACTGGCTTCCACGCATAGCCTACAAGCAACTGATGCAGACCTTTGGAGCATCTACATTTTAAAAAGTCTAATAAATCCATGCAATATAGCCTACACTATCACAATAAATCCATTATTTATTTTAGACAGGTCTAAAGAAACATGATATGAAGACAATGTTGTCTATTTCAGAAGAACATAATAGCATATTCTGAGTTGTCCATATGTTAGGCCCTGATCAGGCTATGCCATAATTATGGCTGTGGCCTACACTAGTTCATTTAGCAGACAAGATTTGCTTAGAATTCCGTGGCATTATTTTATAGTATGAAGAATAAAATTGAACATAGCTGAATAAAATAGAAAGGATATTTTCTCCAAAAGATTTGAGGGAGTGCGCACATGCGGCTATTCTGTGTTGAGCAATCAACAAATGTTCAGTGTAGTCAAGAACATGGAAGAACATTTAATGGATTCTACAAGAACCAATATCACTCCCTAAAAACACACCCCTATGGAGCTTTTAAGAATTCACTGATAAATTGGTCCACATGGAAATCTAAAGGCATAGAAACCGTAAATGACGTGGTAATAGGAAATACAATTATTTACATTACAGAATTAAAAAGCAATTTTGGACTGACCAATGTAGACATTTTCAAATGCAGTGGGGAGAACAAGTATTTGATACACTGCCGATTTTGCAGGTTTTCCTACTTACAAAGCATGTAGAGGTCTGTAATTTTTATCATAGGTACACTTCAACTGTGAGAGACGGAATCTAAAACAAAAATCCAGAAAAATCACATTGTATGATTTTTAAGTAATTCATTTATTGCATGACATAAGTATTTGATCACCTATCAACCAGTAAGAATTCCGGCTCTCACAGACCTGTTCGTTTTTCTTTAAGAAGCCCTCCTGTTCTCCACTCATTACCTGTATTAACTGCAACTGTTTGAACTTGTTACCTGTATAAAAGACACCTGTCCACACACTCAATCAAACAGACTCCAACCTCTCCACAATGGCCAAGACCAGAGAGCTGTGTAGGACATCAGGGATAAAATTGTAGACCTGCACAAGGCTGGGATGGGCTACAGGACAATAGGCAAGCAGCTTGGTGAGAAGGCAACAACTGTTGGCGCAATTATTAGAAAATGGAAGAAGTTCAAGATGACGGTCAATCACCCTTGGTCTGGGGCTCCATGCAAGATCTCACCTCGTGGGGCATCAATGATCATGAGGAAGGTGAGGGATCAGCCCAGAACTACACGGCAGGACCTGGTCAATGACCTGAAGAGAGCTGGGACCACAGTCTCAAAGAAAACCATTAGTAACCACACTACGCCGTCATGGATTAAAATCCTGCAGCGCACGCAAGGTCCCCTGCTCAAGCCAGCGCATGTCCAGGCCCGTCTGAAGTTTGCCAATGACCATCTGGATGATCCAGAGGAGGAATGGGAGAAGGTCATGTGGTCTGATGAGACAAAAATAGAGCTTTTGGTCTAAACTCCACTCGCCATGTTTGGAGGAAGAAGAAGGATGAGTACAACCCAAGAACACCATCCCAACCGTGATGCATGGAGGTGGAAACATCATTCTTTGGGGATGCTTTTCTGCAAAGGGGACAGGACGACTGCACCGTATTGAGGGGAGGATGGATGGGGCCATGTATTGCGAGATCTTGACCAACAACCTCCTTCCCTCAGTAAGAGCATTGAAGATGGGTCGTGGCTGGGTCTTCCAGCATGACAACGACCCGAAAAACACACAGCCAGGGCAAACTAAGGAGTGGCTCCGTAAGAAGCATCTCAAGGTCCTGGAGTGGCCTAGCCAGTCTCCAGACCTGAACCCAATAGAAAATCTTTGGAGGGAGCTGAAAGTCCGTATAGCCCCGAAACCTGAAGGATCTGGAGAAGGTCTGTATGGAGCAGGTAACAAGTTCAAACAGTTGCAGTTAATACAGGTAATGAGTGGAGAAAAGGAGGGCTTCTTAAAGAAAAACGAACAGGTCTGTGAGAGCCGGAATTCTTACTGGTTGATAGGTGATCAAATACTTATGTCATGCAATAAAATGAATTACTTAAAAATCATACAATGTGATTTTCTGGATTTTTGTTTTAGATTCCGTCTCTCACAGTTGAAGTGTACCTATGATAAAAATTACAGACCTCTACATGCTTTGTAAGTAGGAAAACCTGCAAAATCGGCAGTGTATCAAATACTTGTTCTCCCCACTGTATATGCAACTTAAACATTTTATATCACGAAAGCTTTTGGACATCAGAGCAATGTTGAGGGAATCCTATTTGAGTCCGAAAAATATACTCGTATGATAGGTAAGATATACCAAACCTTGCAGACAGCCTATCCAACTGACAATCTCTTAGAAAATAATATAATCTATTGGAACCAAGACTTGAAAAAGAACTGATATTGGCACAAGATGGAGGGAGTGTTGGAACATAACAAGTGAAATTACAGTTAACGAAAATGTAAGCTTAATTCAGTATAAACTAATGTATAGAATGTATGATACAAGAGACAAGATTCACACATTTTACAGCACATGTCTTAAGTGTAAAACTAACAATGACTCAATAATGAATGCCTTCTGGGAGTGTGATAAAGTCCAAAAGTTATGGGCAGAGTTAGAAAGCTGGCTGTCAGAAATGTTACATTTACATTTTAGTCATTTAGCAGACGCTCTTATCCAGAGCGACTTACAGTTAGTGAGTGCATACATCAAAAAAAAAAAAATCATACTTGTCCCCCATGGGAAACGAACCCACAACCCTGGCGTTGCAAACGCCATGCTCTACCAACTGAGCTATACAGGACTTTTACAATGTAAATGTACTTTGAATCCGTCTATCTGGATATTTCAAGACATTACATTTGGGGTTGCGGCGAGATACCCAATGGATTGGACAATATTATTTTTCTCACTTATTTTGAAGAAGCTATTAATTAAATACTGGAAGTCGAATGATACTTCAACATTAAGAGAATGGAAGAATCAAATGCTTTATTGTTTATATTTTGAAAAAATAAAACTGTCTAAAGACAGAAACAACATAACACAATTCCAGAAGGTTTTCAGAGTTCAGGGGACATCTTGATGTTTACCAGGAAAATTCCCTCTTAGTTCGTTGAGGTTAAATTGGTCTTTAAAATCTGCCATGAGTTGAGGTAGTTGGGTTGAATTTGGCTTGAGTTGAAAGAAGTGAAGGAATTCAAATTCATGGAATTGGTCTAGAGAGGGAATTGAATTATGTGAAATGTTGTGGCAGAATATTGAATTAGGAATTGTAGTTTTGAATAGACTTAGAATTGGAATTTGAGATGAATTGAATGGGGGGAATTGTGGCAGAATATTGAACTAGAAATTGCAGTTTTGAATTGACTTAGAATTGGAATTCGAGATGAGTTGAAGAACTGGAATTTATAGGGAGAGGGAATTGCATTGGAATTGAATTTGTGGAATTGACACCAACCCTGCTGGAATTTTTTATTGAATAGATGGAATTTATAGGGAGAGGGAATTGAACTGGAATAGACGCCAACCCTACAGACATGTCTCAAGGTATGATACAGACAACGTGTGTCTCAAGGTACAATACAACGTGTCTCAAGGTACTATAAAGTGTCTGCATCCCAAAACGTCCCAAATGGCACCCTATTCCCATAACGCTCTGGTCAAAAGTAGAACACTATATAGGGATAGGGTGCTATTTGGGACACAAGCAGTGTGTCTGCCAAATATGTGTCAGAAGGTCAGGGTTGGGGTCAATTTCATTTCACATTGCTAATTGGAAAGCTATGAGGAATTGAATAAATTGAAATGGAATTGCCCCCAACCTTGCTGAAGGTTGAAATAACAGTACCTCTGTCAAATATAAGTTAATCACTAGCTAGGTTTCCATCCAATTTGTGACAGATTTTCATGTGAATATTCTAAAATCCGCAAAAAAACAATATGCGCATTTTCCCACCAGAGATGTTTCCATTAAATTGACTTTTTGCGGAGAAAAGGCTGTGCGTGAAGACGTAGTGCACATAAAAATAACTTTTGCGATTAAAGTCCCGTGTACTGAACAAAACATACAAGTTAAATGGGTTTCCATTGCATTTTCAACTCTACTGATGGTTTTCTCACAAAAAATGTTGCGTTAAATAGCGAGTGTGCCCACTCTGGTATTGGCACGTGCTCTAGCCAACAGCTCGCACATACAGTGCGGGTATAGCCTACATTATGAGATTATTATGGACAAAAGAGCGAGATTATTTTTTATTGCCAAAAGGCAGATTTCTGTATAAAGTTAGTGTGGGGGAGGCAGATTTTTTTTGTTGCGATTAATAATAACAAACCTCCTGGCATTGATAACTTAGATGGAAAGCTACTGAGGATGATGGCTGACTCTATCGCCACTCCTATCGGTCACATCTTTAATCTGAGCCTAGAGGAAAGTCTCTGTCCTCAGACCTGGAGGGAAGCCAAAGTCATTCCGCTACCCAAGAGTGGTAAAGCGGCCTTTACTGGTTCTAACAGCAGACCTATCAGCTTGCTGACAGCTCTTAGCAAACTGTAGGAAAGAATTGTGTTTGACCAAATACAATGCTATTTCTCTGTAAACAAATTAACAGACTTTCAGCATGCTTATAGAGAAGGACACTCAACATGTACTGCACTTACACAAATGACTGATGGTTGGTTGAAAGAAATTGATAAGAAGATTGTGGGAGCTGTATTGTTCAGTGCAGCCTTTGATATTTTTGACCATAACCTGTTGTTGAGAGAAATTGTGTGTTATGGCTTTTCATCCTCTGCCATATCGTGGATTCAGGGCTATCTAATAGAACTCAGAGGGTTTTCTTTAATGGAAGCTTCTCTAATGTCAAACATGTAAAGTGTGGTGTACCACAGGGAAGCTCTCTAAGCCCCCTAATTTTTACCAATGACCTGCCACTGGCATTAAACAAAGCATGTTTGTCCATGTATGCTGATGATTCAACCATATACGCATCAGCAACCACAGCTAATGAACTCACTGAAACCCTTAACAAAGAGTTGCAGTCTGTTTTAGAATGGGTGGTCAGTAATAAACTGGTCCTGAACATCTCTAAAACTAAGAGCATTCCCTATGTTCTAGACCTCAGCTGAATCTGGTAATGAATGGTGTGGCTGTTGAACAAGTTGAGGAGACTAAATAACTTGGTGTTACCTGTAAACTGTCATGGTCAAAACATATAGATTCAATGGTTGTAAAGATTGGGAGAGGTCTGTCCATAATAAAGAGATGCTCTGCTTTTTTGACACCACACGCCACAATGCATGTCCTGCAGGCTCTAGTTTGATCTTATCTTGATTATTGTCCAGTCATATGGTCAAGTGCTGCAAAGAAATACCTAGTTAAGCTGCAGCTGGCCCAGAACAGAGCAGCACGTCTTGCTCTTCATTGTAATCAGAGGGCTAATATTAATACTATGCATGCCAGTCTCTCTTGACTGCGTAACTTCTTGTTTTTATAAGAAACATTAATGTTGGAAATTCCAAATTGTTTGCATAGTCAATTTACACACAGCACTGACACACACTTACCCCACCAGACATGCTACCAGGGGTCTTTTCACAGTCCCCAGGTCCAGAACAAATTCAAGGAAACATACAGTATTATACAGCTCCATTAGTGCATGGAACTCCCTTCCATCTTATATAGCGCAAGTGAACAGCAAACCTGGTTTTAAAAAACGAATAAAGCAACACCTCACGGCACAACGCCTCTCCCCCATGTGACCTACTTGTGGTGTTTATGTACTGACATGTACATGTAACTGATAGATGCACACACACACATTAATGTTTTTAAATGTACTGTATGTAAATTGTAAAGTCTTTTAAATGTATTTTTCGTTATGTGTCGGACCCCAGTAAGACTAGCTGTCACCATTGGCGTCGGCTAATGGGGATCCTAATAAATCAAATCATATCAAGCATTGATTATCATGTCACCAGAATAAGACCTTCGATATTTATTGGAATGGAGCATCAAGCTCATCACCTTGCACTTTCACCACCCTGTGAAGTTCATCATAATTTATTTAATCTGTAGCCTTATAAACTGCATGCTTTCCCGACGAGTCATAGTGGGAGGACCACACAACATGTCATCACATGACTCCAAGTTTACTTCAATATGATGGTTATTAAATCAATATTTGCGCATAAAAAGCATTTCCACTGACATTTCTCGCATAATTCATTTTACAGACACAAAAAGATCCCACCTTGTGTAGCGTATTTTGTTTTGTCGACATTTGGTAAGTTTACAGACTAATGTTGTTTCCATCAGGCCTGTTGTGAAAAAATGTTTTAACCTGGTTACAGAAGCTTCTTTCAAGAAAATGACATTCACTTTTACCTGTAAACTATGTAGAACTTTGTGACAACTGCTGATGTAAAAAAATGGCTTTATAAAATAAATGTCATTGATTAATATGACCCCTTTTCCTTTCTTCCTTGTCTCAGGTAAAGCCCATCGTGTCCCAGTATCTGAAGGAGAAGGAGCTCCCATACCAGGAGGATAGCTACCTCTCCCGTCTGCAGCTCTTCTTTCACAAGTACCAGGAGCTCATGGTTTTCGCCCCACCCATCACAGAGCTGGTGGGGGTGCAGTGATGGAGGGGAGAGGTGGAGGATGAGGCGGAGGTCAGGAAACAGGGACTATACCTACTACTAACCCACGCTGCTGTGTGCTGTCACTGGATTAAGAGACTGCTGCCACGGTCCTATCTAGGAGGATAATTCCTTAGTACACAAACGCCAACTAACTGGCATTAACATAGCTGCAATATGAATAAATTATTTATGTGGAAAAACTATTACATGAATTGTAACAAATACAATGTCAATTTATCTGCACGATCTAACACTATAACATGATAGCTATACCAATGATCTCTACTCAAGACAATGTGTGTAGTTAAACTAACAATCCACTGGGCACATACTGGTTGAATCAATGTTGATTACACGTCATTTTAATGACATTATGTTGAACCAACGTGGAATAGACTAATTGATGTCTGTGCCCATTGGGAACAATAATAAAGCACTTTATGGGATACATATTTTCATTACATTATAGCAGACGCTCTTATCCAGAGTGTCTTACAGTAGTGAGTGCATAAATTTTCATACTTTTTCTTCGTACTGTTCCCCCGTGGGAATCGAACCCGTTGCAAGCACCATGCTCTACCAACTGAGCCACACGGGACCAGCTCTTCACACTATAATACAGGCCAGTTTACGATCTAACATAGCAATAAAACATAACATAAGCTAGGTTTCCATCCAATTAGTGACAGATTTCCATGCAAATATTCTAAAATCCGCATAAAAAATTATATGCTGTATTTTACCACCAGAGGTGTGTTTCCGTCAAACGGACCAGTTGCGGATAAAAGTTAAGTTAAGTTCCCATGTACCAAATAAAAAACACAAGTTCAATGGGTTTCCATCGCAATTTCAACTCTACCGATGGTTTTGTTACAAAAACTCTTACACAATCTGGTTTTGGCGCATGCTCTCTAGACAAGACTTCGCTGATGAAGTGGACAGGGGGTTCTATGATGAGATATGGATAAGTGCAAGATCATTTTATTTGATAATTGGCAGCCAAGAACCGATCATGTCACCAGCATTCAAATAATAGCCTTCCCTTGATATTTTTGCATGATCACCGTGAACTTAACCACCATGTGAAGTTCATCATTACTTATTTTATCTGCCTATAAACTTTTCATGCTTTTCCACAACGTGGTGGTAGGCCCATATCGCGTGACTCCAAGTTTACTTTGATGTGATGGTTATTATATAGAGTGGGGTATATTGACCCCAAGGGTTAGTTATTTCTAGGAAACACAAAATTAATAATGTGACCAAATATTTAGGAAGAGGTCATAATTGAATGGAGTCAGTCTGTGAAGATATGCGTGTATCTAAACCAAAGTAGATTGTTTTATACATCCGTTGGGGTCTCTAAGCTACAATATGAGGTCCTAAACCTAGCATGAAAGTGCATCCTTGTAGCTGTGTGGGCTAATATAGTCCAAGTGTTCGCCTTGGGGTAAGTTGAGCCAATAGCCACCATACAAATATTTTATGCATAATATGCATATTATTGTTGCAAAATGTCATGCATATGAACTAAAAGTAATTCATTTTTGTTTACAGAGCGGACATCATTATGCACTGTGTATACAAACGTAGAAGTACATTCGAGCAGCAGCAAGGGATGAAAAAAAGAGACTGAATGACACTGAAGAGGTTCGTTTTCTTTTTTGTCAATGCACATGTCCCAGCTAGCAGAAGTTGTGGGAACAATACATTTTTGGTTTCCCATTAATCTGGGAATGAAGCCATAAGTTTCCTGACCGGTAAAACTAAAATGTTTTTTAAACGTTCTGAGAACAGAAATGAAAATGTAGCCTGTTCTGGGAACGTTAATTTGTAGGTTGCAGTGAAGTTCTGAGAACGTTTTACTATGGTTCCCTGAATGTTTTCCTGGTTTTTTTTAATTAACGTTCGAAGAACGGAAATTGTAGGTTGTTTGAAGGTAATTAAATAACGTTCTGAGTACATGTTTCAATAAGACTTTTAAAAACACTGCTAGCTTAGGTTAACTGTTTTGAAATTCAAGCACAGATAGGACACATGGAAAAATTCATTTGCTTAGGCATTAACCATGCAAACACATTTCTTTCTTTTTTATTGTGGCATCAGTGAGATTTGAACGTATGATCTTCTGTTCTCTATCCATGGAATTAGTCCACTGCGCCATCATACAAAGCCGTTCCTTTTAGTCTCTTCAAACAGACCCCATTTCAAAGGAAACAAGCACTCATTAAGATCAGGTGTGGCCAATTAATGGGCATGGCCAATATACCTGAACACACTTAACAAGATAGAGGATTAAGAGAGTTTTGACGACGCTGAGAGCGGAATGTTTTTAAATAACATTATTAGAATGTTACTAATGTTTTCTTGTGGTTTTCATGGAAAGTTTCCTTAATGTTCTGTGAACATGACTTTATATAGAACCATGAGAAAATCTGTAGAAAACGTTATGCTTAAGTACTGAAATTCCCACCTAAGAAACATATGGTTCGCAGAACGTTATGTGCTAGCTGGGTATCCTGTACCCCATTCCCAGAATGTTGTGGGAAGGTTGTATGCAAAATAACCATAGGACAACCACGCTCTCACCAAGCTCTAAGAAACACATGCTAGCTGGGGTACCTGTGCTAAAGAGAGGCAATGATAGAGTAGCAGAGGCACACAAGGTCTTATCTGATGACATGGAGTCTGAGCTTGCTAAACATATCAAGAATCTCGCGGACCAGTTTCATAGGCTTAGTAGCCTTAAATGCAGGGAACTTGACTACGAATTGGCACATCGAAACAACATCCCTGTCCCAGACAGCTGGTCAAGAAATGGAAGGGTAAGTGATATTGAACAGAGCGATCTGAATGTAGGCATACATTTAAGAGATACAATATACCACACACCCATTCCATGAATTACACTTTGACCTACCAGCACCATCACCCACCTACCCCAAGTCTGCTCAACTTACCCTGTCCCTATGCTCAATTTACCGTATACCCAGTGTAAGTTGTGCCAAGAGACCACTTTTTATGGACAAGCTATGTTTTCAAAACTGTTATGTTTACATGAATTCTGATTAGTTCCAGGGATACACAACATCCTGAATTATATGTAGATATCTTTGTTAGAAAGAATACTATATTTCCCTTGACGGAGTGATGCTGAATGTAAAAAATGTCTCAACTTACACCACTCTCCCCTATAATGGTTGTGAAAAGCTGAATTTTTATAATATTACCATTGTATCAACACACTCGTCAGTCCTGTTCAACAACTTTAAATATCTTTGGCACAGTAGGCATCAGGTCACTTGCCGATAATGTTGCATAAAATGTTTGAAAGGTCTATCATTTTTAAAGAACACAATCAAAGTTAACATAGGCCGTAGATGCTTTCAATTGCCCAGTTATATATAAGTTTAGGATTATGTTTTAACAACGTGATATTGCGCTCAGAAGGGATAACTTGATATGATTTATTTTAATTTTACCTTTATTTTACTAGGTAAGTCAGTTAAGAACAAATTCTTATTTAAAATGACGGCCTACCAAAAGGCCTCCTGCGGGGACGGGGGCTGGGTTAAAAAATAATATAGGACAAAACACAAGAGAGACAACACTACACAAAGAGAGACCGAAGACAACAACACATCATGGCAGCAACACGACAACACAGCATGGTAGCAACACATGACAACAACATGGTAGCAACACAACATGGCAGCAGCACGACATGGTAGCAGCACAAAACATGGTACACACATTATTGGGCACAGACAACAGCACAAAGGGCAAGAAGGTAGAGACAACAATACATCACGCATCTAAATAAAAATGTGATTATTTATTAGCCTAGTCGTTATAAGTATTTAGGCATATCGTGAATTTGGCCTAATGTGAAATCATTGTCAAAAGCGCAAGAGATATTGTTGCATGTGGGTCTATAATTTATGGGTTGATCATATAGTGTTGCGTCAAAAGACAGGTATTCACATTCAAGGCATTCACATGTTCAACTTATTTCAAAGATAAAACACTAGCAGGGGGCAAAAAAGTGTATGCATTGTGGAACCCATCATTAGCTTGTGTTTCCCTGGGGAACATATATACTGGTGCACCTTTGTGATAGCAGGTGGTGAAATGTTTGGTGAAAAAGCATTTCACTGGAATTCCTTCATGGAAGAGGAGACACTCATTCATACACATTCAGCTCATTTAGGATTCTGGAGACTCAACCGGTAGGCACATGGACATTGTTGTGTAAAATTGTTGCCAGTTAGGTGTTTATTTGTGTTGAGAATTGAGACCAATTGTCTAATTTAGTGTATATATAGTATAATTTAGATAATATGACTACATTGAGATTATATATTTAATTTGAAATGACCTTACTTGAAGTAATGTATATTTATTTTTGTGTTTTGCCTTTAAAGGTTATCAACCTAACTAACTAACTAACTAACTGACTGACTGACTGACTGACTGACTGACTAACTGACTAACGGACTAACAAACTGGAATTAAATAAAAGAAGTCAGACTCTTATGACTAAAGAGGCTTCATGCATAGCTTTTATTTTGACCCATAGGAGTAGGAGTAAAATGTCTCTTCTCAGCACTTATGACCAATGTTCTACTCTGAGACGCTTTGTGGGTACGGGCCCTGGCCAAAGATTCAATCAATACTTGCCTTTGAATTGAACTTCCCTGCACTTTGGAATTTGGGAATTGACCAACCGCTTTTAAAATATGAAGGACAAGCCTATCCTTCTTGTAGGATACCCTAGTTTTTCTTATCAGAAAATACATGGGGAATGAATTAATAATTAAATGCTTGATTGATACCTTTGTATAATTATCTGATAGTGTTATCATCAATTATCAAGTCATGATCAACTCCAGCATGAAAAATATTACACACAGACGAGAGCAATACTACACCTCTGTGTCCAATCTGTAACAAGAGTTCCACCCATGTTGCTTCTTTTCCCCTGTGACCTGACACACAAGGAAGTGAAAGGGGAGGGCGACCCACATTAAAAAATATTACAGTTTACTATAGATTACAACCCTACTTACTATAGAATTCTATAGTAAACTGGTGTATACTGTAGAATACTATAATATACTCTGTAGTATCCCTCGATCATGTGTAGTACTTGCTATATACACTGAGTGTACAAAACATATTTCCATGACATAGACTGACCAGGTGAATCCAGATGAAAGCTATGATCTCTTATTGATGTCACTTGTTAAATCCACTTCAATCAGTGTAGATGAAGGGGAGGAGACAGGTTAAAGAAGGATTTTTAAGCCTTGAGACAATTGAGACATGGATTGTGTATGTGTGCCATTCAGAGGGTGAATGGTCAAGACAAAAGATTTAAGTGCCTTTGAATGGGTTATGGTAGTAGGTGCCAGGTGCACCGGTTTGAGTGTGTCAAGAACTGCAACGCTGCTGGGTTTTTCACGCTCAACAGTTTCCCGTGTGTATCATGAATGGTCCATCACCCAAAGGACATCCAGCCAACTTGACACAACTGTGTGAAGCATTGGAGTCAACATTGGCCAGCATCTCTGTGGAACTCTTTCGACACCTTGTACAGTCCATGCCCCGACGAATTGAGGCTGTTCTGAGGGCAAAAGGGGGTGCAACTCAATGTTAGGAAGGTGTTTCTCATGGTTTGTATACTCAGTGTAATGTTGTAGTATACTACAGTAAATACTTCAGTATTATCCCCCCAAAAAACACTGTCTTAAATACTACAGTAATGTCTGCAAAAACACAGTACACTTTTTAAAGTATAGTAAATACTACAGTATTTAATTTGCATATATGTTGCCCATTCCCTTCCCCCATATCGCAATTTGTGCCACCTATAAGTGAGAAACCTACAATCGTGGTCAAAAGTTTTGAGAATGACACAAATATTAATTTTCACAAAGTCTGCTGCCTCAGTTTTTATGATGGCAATTTGCATATACTCCAGAACGTTATGAAGAGTGATCAGATGATTTGCCCTGAAAATGAACTTAATCCCCCAAAAACATTTCCACTGCATTTCAGTCCTGCCACAAAAGGACCAGCTGACATCATGTCAGTGATTCTCTCGTTAACAAAGGTGAGAGTGTTGACGAGGACAAGGCTGGAGATCACTCTGTCATGCTGATTGAGTTAGAATAACAGACTGGAAGCTTTAAAAGGAGGGTGGTGCTTGAAATCGTTGTTCTTCCTCTGTTAACCATGGTTACCTGCAAGGAAACACGTGCCGTCATCATTGCTTTGCACAAAAAGGGCTTCACATCCTCCGAGAGCAACTTATCCCAACCATCCAAGAACAGTTTGGTGAAGAATAATGCCTTTTCCAGCATGATGGAGCACCTTGCCATAAGGCAAAAGTGATAACTAAGTGGCTCGGTGAACAAAACATCGACATTTTGGGTCCATGGCCAGGAAACTCCCCAGACCTTAATCCCATTGAGAACTTGTGGTCAATCCTCAAGAGGCGGGTGGACAAACAAAACCCACAAATTCTGACAAACTCCAAGCATTGATTGTGCAAGAATGGGCTGCCATCAGTCAGGATGTGGCCCAGAAGTTAATTGACAGCATGCCAAGGCGGATTGCAGAGGTCTTGAAAAAGAAGGATCAACACTGCAAATATTGACTCTTTGCATAAACTTAATGTAATTGTCAATAAAAGCCTTTGACACTTATGGAATGCTTGTAATTATACTTCAGTATACCATAGTAACATCTGACAAAAATATCTAAAAACACTGAAGCAGCAAACTTTGTGAAGACCAATACTTGTGTCATTCTCAACTTTTGACCACGACTGTACAGTATTGAATGTACTGAATGCCAAGTATAGACCATATTGTGTTCCCTACAGATTGTAGAAAAGAGCAGAGGTGCTGAACTATTAGTTCAGACTCCAGACCTACCTACCTACCTACAGTGGGGAAAAAAAGTATTTAGTCAGCCACCAATTGTGCAAGTTCTCCCACTTAAAAAGATGAGAGAGGCCTGTAATTTTCATCATAGGTACACGTCAACTATGACAGACAAATTGAGAGAAAAAAATCCAGAAAATCACATTGTAGGATTTTTCATGAATTTATTTGCAAATTATGGTGGAAAATAAGTATTTGGTCACCAACAAACAAGCAAGATTTCTGGCTCTCACAGACCTGTAACTTCTTCTTTAAGAGGCTCCTCTGTCCTCCACTCGTTACCTGTATTAATGGCACCTGTTTTAACTTATCAGTATAAAAGACACCTGTCCACAACCTCAAACAGTCACACTCCAAACTCCACTATGGCCAAGACCAAAGAGCTGTCAAAGGACACCAGAAACAAAATTGTAGACCTGCACCAGGCTGGGAAGACTGAATCTGCAATAGGTAAGCAGCTTGGTTTGAAGAAATCAACTGTGGGAGCAATTATTAGGAAATGGAAGACATACAAGACCACTGATAATCTCCCTCAATCTGCGGCTCCACGCAAGATCTCACCCCGTGGGGTCAAAACGGTGAGCAAAAATCCCAGAACCACATGGGGGGACCTAGTGAACGACCTGCAGAGAGCTGGGACCAAAGTAACAAAGCCTACCATCAGTAACACACTACGCCGCCAGGGACTCAAATCCTGCAGTGCCAGACGTGTCCCCCTGCTTAAGCCAGTACATGTCCAGGCCCGTCTGAAGTTTGCTAGAGTGCATTTGGATGATCCAGAAGAGGATTGGGAGAATGTCATATGGTCAGATGAAACCAAAATATAACTTTTTGGTAAAAACTCAACTCGTCGTGTTTGGAGGACAAAAGAATGCTGAGTTGCATCCAAAGAACACCATACCTACTGTGAAGCATGGGGGTCGAAACATCATGCTTTGGGGCTGTTTTTCTGCAAAGGGTAAAGGAAAGAATGAATGGGGCCATGTATCGTGAGATTTTGAGTGAAAACCTCCTTCCATCAGCAAGGGCATTGAAGATGAAACGTGGCTGGGTCTTTCAGCATGACAATGATCCCAAACACACCGCCCGGGCAACGAAGGAGTGGCTTCGTAAGAAGCATTTCAAGGTCCTGGAGTGGCCTAGCCAGTCTCCAGATCTCAACGCCATAGAAAATCTTTGGAGGGAGTTGAAACTCCGTGTTGCCCAGCGACAGCCCCAAAGCATCACTGCTCTAGAGGAGATCTGCATGGAGGAATGGGCCAAAATACCACCAACAGTGTGTGAAAACCTTGTGAAGACTTACAGAAAACGTTTGACCTGTGTCATTGCCAACAAAGGGTATATAACAAAGTATTGAGAAACGTTTGTTATTGACCAAATACTTATTTTCCACCATAATTTGCAAATAAATTCATTAAAAATCCTACAATGTGATTTTCTGGAATTTTTTTTTCTCATTTTGTCTGTCATAGTTGACGTGTACCTATGATGAAAATTACAGGCCACTGTACCTACCTACAGGTTATGGAAAATGTGCTCTTTTAGTATTTCTCCAGTAGGTTTCCTGAAGGAGAAAACCACCACTTCTATGTCAAAGATAATAAAACACTATAGTAAACACTACAGTAATGCCGGAAAAACACTTCAGTAAATACTACAATTTAGTACAGTCCACAAAAACACTACAGTAAATACTATAGTATATACTGTAGTTTTCTTTTACTACAGTATTTATACGTACGTTAACTGTAAATACTACAGTATATACAACATTAGTCTGCAAAAACACTACAGTGAATACTATAGTATATGTACCATAGTATACCTATAGTATTTTTTCATGTAGGTGTGTGTGTGTGGATAGTGTGTTCGTGTGTGTAGTTGGCTGAAACTATGAGAGAGGTGGCTGACGCTCCCATGATTAAGGTGTGGCTTGGGAGACTCTCCAGAGGGATCCAGGAAGAAACTAACTCAGTTTATCCAGAGACAGATGCAGAACAGAACGGAACAGGAGCGGCTGAGGGAGTTCGTCAGAGAGAGAGAGAGAGAGAGAGAGTAAGAGAGGGGAGGAAACTACTGTAGAGAGAGAGACATGGCAGACACAGAAACCAAGTCAAAATCCAAACCAGTCCAGAAACTCTGCTGCACTGTGTGTTCCAGTGTTCTCAAGAAGGACAAGCCCGCTACCTGTGGCCACTCAGTCTGTGCTTCCTGCTTGGGGGAGAAAGGTAAAGGCTGTACTCAGTGTCTACAGAGCTCTGGCAAGCCTGAAACTGCACCTGTGGAACAGAATGGAACGATGAATGGAATAGTGGCCGAGTCTCCACCGGTGATCAAAACCAAAGAGGAAAAGGAAAAGGACATAGAAGCCCAGGATTCAAAGACCGCAGGGGAGACAATGATACAGGAAGACCTGAAGGAAGCAGAGGACCCTAAAAAACCAGAGGAGTCAATGATACAGGAAGACCTGAAGGAAGCAGAGGACCCTAAAAAAACAGAGGAGACAATGATACAGGAAGACCTGAAGGAAGCAGAACACCCTAAAAAAACAGAGGAGACAATGATACAGGAAGACCTGAAGGAAGCAGAGGACCCTAAAAAAACAGAGGAAGAGAAAAGGAAAGAGGGTGACCCTCCACAGCCTGCAGAGGAATTGAAAGAGGATGTGAAGAATGGGGTGAACGAGAAATCAAAGGAAGAGAAATCAAAAGAGGAGAACGCAAAGGAAGAAGAGGTGAAAGTAGAGCCTTTGGGGTCCGATGATGTTGTGTGTGACTCGTGTATGGAGACGAGCCCGTGCAGGGCCCTAAAGTCGTGCCACACCTGCCTTGTGTCCTACTGCGAGGCCCACCTCAGGCCCCACCTGGAGAACCCCAAGTTCCAGAACCACCGTCTGGTGGAGCCGCTGAGGGACATCGAGAGACGGACCTGTGAGAGCCACAAGTGGCCCCTGGAGCTGTTCTGCTGTGCTGATGCTGTGTGTGTCTGTCAGGACTGTGTGACAGAAGACCACAGGGGACACAACACTGTGCCTGTGGTAGAGGCGCGCAGAACCATAGAGGTATTGCACTTTCTCTCGTGTGTGCATACTTTCACCCTCTCTCATATTCTCAGTTTATTTCTCTCTCCCTCTCTGTCTCTCACTCACTCCTCCCCCCTTTCTCTCACTTTCTCTCACTTTCTTTGATAAACATTCACAAACATACATTTGCATAGATTTGATATCTAAAGGAAACACCTTGTGCATAGGACCACACCATTCTCAAATTACAGAACACCATATCAATTGTGTGGTGTTGTTATATATGTAAATTGGCCACCTCATGTTTGTAAGTAAAGGTTCACCTAAGTTTCTAGATGTTTTGTTCACAAACTCATCCAAAGCACTACAACAGGTGTGGAAGTTTAAAACATCCAGGAACATTTCACCAGCACGAGCACGTGTAGTAATAAATTGGCCATTGTCATGGTAGCCTGCACTGAGCTTGTATTAGTATCCTTAATGAGAATATGACGAACTTCATGATTTATCCATGGTATATAAAGAAGATGTCATTCATCAGTCCACAATATCTTACCCAAGTCTTATGCCGTAATGAATTTGGCCTGCATCAATGGCAGCTGCTCTTAATTAATAATGAACTTGGATCAACTAGAGCCTTCACACATTTGCCAACAGCTAGGCTATATATAGTAGTGTCTGACTTGTTGTAGGTCTTAACAGTAGGGGTTATGTCAGCACTTCTGTCAGCCAGGACAGGGAGAAGGATGGAGTCCAACTACGACTAAAATTGTATATGGACTGACATTCTTAGTGCATTCTGTCACAGAGAGAGCTTCAACCCCTGCTGGTACAACACAGCAAATTCTCCAGTGTTAAATCAACACTGAGAGTGTTAAAATTAACACTGTTCCAATGTCTATACGGGTCCACACTTTTCAGTGTTAAATTAACACATTGTGTAAAGCCTTATTTGCATATTTCCCAGGTTGTCTTGCATTTCGAGTGAATTGTAGAGTTACCATCCATGACTGTATTGATTAATGACAGAGACATGGTTGTTGCATTCATACATATTTTGCCCTATGGCCTTCACCAAGTGAGATCCAAAGCAACTATATTATCATTAAAATGTATATTTTTAAGACAATAGGATACATATTTCATGAGGCCTTATTTTGAGGGCCTAGTTTTACCCTAATACAGTGGCCTGAAACTCCTGGTTTACAGTCCACATCAGGCCAGTAAGTCACATTATGCTGGCTTGCAAAGTAATGTGTAATTCAGAGTGGGGTTTTCCAACATTGTGAATTTTTATTCACCCGCAACCTGCATTCAGACTGACTGGCAGGGTTGGGAAGACTAAGATATGAGACTACCTAAACCTTCTAAACTGCTTAGTGTAAAGCATTATTAAAATATTTCCCAGTGCCTTGACTTTTGAGTAAATTCTAGAGTTACCATCCATGACTGTATTTGTCAGTGGCAGAGTCATTGTTGCATTCATCCATTTTCAGTCCTATGGACTTCACCAAGTGAGATCCTAAGTGAATATGTTATCATTAACACAATGACATACGTATTTCATAAGGCCTTATTTTGAGGGCCTAGTTTTAGTAGGCCCTCAAATACAGGAGGCCTGAAACTCATACCCATAACTTTGAACCAAAACCACACAACATCATTATATTTCCCAGCATGCTCTATTGCAGGTAGATTTTTTTAGAATTGTTTTGTTTCAATATCTATGTTTGTGCATATACATTCCAAAAGTTGGATATCACCACACTGGCTGGATTCCAATAGAAATTACACATCAAATTGCAAGACAGCATAATATGACAGGCAGGCCTGATGTGGCCTGTAAACCATGAGTTTCAGGCTATTGTATTACACTCTAAGAAAAATGGGTTTAGATTTGTTCCTGAAGGGGTACAAACACTTATCACTGTAGTGGTACCCTGTAAGGTCATCCTTTGTACCTTTAGTTATAAGTGCATAATTGTACCCCAGTTCATACCTCAGGCCACATCAGGCCTGGAACTAGGGTTGCAAAATTCCAGTAACTTTCACAAAATTCCAAGATGTTCTGCTTCCTTTTCCAGGAAACTTCCAACCAGGATTTCTGGAAAACCTGGGAATTTTGCAACCTTACCTGCAAGTGGGTGCGTTACTCAAAAATGTCAAGCTGATACAACTCAAAACAGTAACTCTATAGATTTGAGTAAAAATACAAAATCACTTTAATTAACTGTACTCAGATACTGCATAGTAGGTGCAATGGATTTCCTCAAAAGTTTTAAGTAATGACAGCACATTGGGCTTGACAGTGTAGCTCACACCTGTTATTTGCACAGTGAGTTGTTGTTGCGAAACAAAAAAGCTCCTCTTCGTCTACAGCTCATTCCTCATGTTCTTCTTGTGTGTTCATGAGCAAATACCTATTTTTGAGGAATTACATAACTCAATGGAATAAGGGTGGAATTGTTTGATTTTACACACTATGGAATAGGAGGCAGAGTCGTTTGTCTGTGCTGATATTCTACAACAGTATGTGCCATTTATCTAGTTGTATCTGACTATCTTTGTTGAGTTACTGTTTAATGCTGGCTCAGGGAACATCAAAACAAGATCATTCGGTTGACATTTGAGACACACGATTTTGGACTCAGTTTCCCTTCAAGGGTTCTAACTGTTGTCTCGCAACATGACAAGACACAAAAGATGAATAGCTGTAAGTAATGTTTTGTGAAATGAGATATGCGTTTAAATATTTGCGCATTACAGATTGTGGTTGTTGTGGATGGCTGTTCACAAATGTACAGTGCATTCGGAAAGTATTCAGACCCCTTGACGTTTTTTACATTTTGTTACGTTACAGCCTTATTCTAAAAAGGATTTAAAAATAATAATCCTCATCAATCTACACACAATACCCCATAATAACAAAGCAAAAACAGGTTTTATAAATGTTTAGTCTCCCAGTCTCTGCCGCTGAAAAACATCCCTACAGCATGATGATGCCACCACCATGCTTCACCATAGGGATGGTGCCAGGTTTCCTCCAGATGTGATGCTTGGCATTCAGGCGAAAGAGTTCAATCTTGGTTTCATCAGACCAGAGAATCTTTAGGTGCCTTTTGGCAAACTCCAAGCGGACTGTCATGTGCCTTTTACTGAGGAGTGGCTTCCGTCTGGCTACTCTACCATAAAGGCCTGATTGGTGCAGTGCTGCAGAGATGGTTGTCCTTCTGGAAGGTTCTCCCATCTCCACAGAGGAACTCTGGAGCTCTGTCAGAGTGACCATCGGGTTCTTGGTCACCTCCCTGACCAAGGCCCTTCTCCCCCAATTGCTCAGTTTGGCAAGGCGGCCAGCTCTAGGAGGAGTCTCGGTAGTTCCTAACTTCTTCCATTTAAGAATGATGGAGGCCACTGTGTTCTTGGGGATCTTCAATGCTGCAAACATTTTTTGGTACCCTTCCCCAGATCTGTGCCTCGAAACAATCCTGTCTCGGAGCTCTACGGACAATTCCTTCGACCTCATCAACTGTGGGACCTTATATAGACAGGTGTATGCCTTTCAACTCATGTCTAACTCAAATCAATTTACCACAGGTGGACTCCAATGAAGTTGTAGAAACATCTCAAGGATGATCAATGGAAACAGGATGCATCTGAGCTCAATTTCAAGTCTCATAGCAAAAGGTCTGAATACTTATGTAAATGTGATACATTTGCAGAAATTTAACCTGTTTTTGCTTTGTCATTATGGGGTATTGTGTGTAAATTGATGAGGGAAAAAAAACAATTTCATCAATTTTAGAATAAGCCTGTAATATAAAAATGTTTTGAAAAAGGGAAGGGGTTTGAATACTTTCCGAATGCACTGTATGTAGACCTATATTTTAACCCAATAATGGTTGAATTGAAGAAGCTTAAGCTGCCTATCAATCATTGTTTTTGCGACCAGTGAAAAATGTGCCCTTACAACAGCTGCATAGTGCGGATCCCAGCCTATTGAATAAAAGTTTGAGGGAGTTCCCTTCTAAACTCCTCTGTGGTATTGTGTTTCATATTGTCAAAAACTAGTTTAATTTAAGAACACAATTTGGCTAATCTATATTTCCATAATCCAAGTCCTATTCCTGAAGATCAAGGGGTATTAAATTAATTGTAATGACTGGAAATCTGACAGACTTTGGTTTTTAATGTAAAGATATAGCCTAATCATATTATTATGTAGTATTAAGCAATTGGTTAGAAGAAGCCTACATAACCAACCCATAAAGTAAAATGTAACATCCATTTATGGCCAGCTATGTAAACTCTAACATTGATTTATCCTGCAATAGATGTCTTTCAATTGGTAATATACATTTTTGTCTTCTTCTAATGCCTCTGAAGGGGAAAGTAATCTAAAAGTAACTGAAAGTAATCACATTAGGTTACTGAGTTTGGGTAATCCAAAAGTTACGTTACTGATTACAATTTTGGACAGGTAACTACTAACTGTAACGGATTACATTTAGAAAGTAACCTACCCAACCCTGCCTACCGCACAGCAGCACAGGTTTCTAGAATGATGAGACGCGAGTCTCATGAAAATGTGCATTGACACAAACACATCCACCTGAAATGTGCATTTAGCCCATCTATGGTCTGATAATGGCCTAATAATTGCCTCTGTAAGTTGTCTAGAGATCTCACAATATTTCTCATGGCTGTAAGCAATTATAGATAAATGTTCGTAAATGTCTGGAAGCTCCATTTCTATAAAACATCACAGAAATCGGATCATAATCTGATAGTAGAGAAACAGAGAGGAAAACACATTGTTCATGTGACGCAGCAGCATAGTAAATGTTTAGATAAATTGGTCAAATAAATACATTGAAATGAATTATTAAGATTGGTGAAAGAGAGAGACCTGTTCTACGTGTTTTGCTGATCTGTGACCCACTGACACCGCCCCCGGTTAGAGTGGAATAAGTCAGCTTCACAGAAGTTACACACCCAGGCACGGTGGCGGTGGTTCCCCAACAGAGGCAGTGCAGGAACCGGAGGATGGTCTGGAGCAGGCCCTGGTGGTAGACCCAATGTTAAGGCCGGGTCAGGACTCAGTGGTGGTATGTCCAAAAAGTCAAGCGGCGGCCTGAGCAGGGCTGGAGCTGGGTCAGGTGGTGCATGCTGGGCAGGGGTATCCTGGACATCCCAGATGGGACCCAGGGCTGTGGCTGGGTCTGGTGGAGCTGTGCTGGGCAGGGGTATCCTGGATATCCCGGATGGGACCCAGGGCTGTGGCTGGGTCTGGTGGAGCTGTGCTGTCAGTAGCTGGTGACAGTGGTGTGACCGGTCATCGGAGGAAGCAGCAGGCAGGGCAGGTGCTGCTGGAGGGCCCATATATCAGGGACAGGTTGGGTTTCTGGCTGCGGCAGTGGCTGGAGTACCATCTCTCTCGTCGGCTGCAGTGTTGGCTGGAGCACCAAGGACGAAAGAACTGGCTGTAGTACCGGGGGCCGATGATCCAGCCCAGGCGACTGGACTGTCTGTAGTCCTGGGGGTCGCTGGACAGGCCTTGGTGCTGCCAACAGGGGCCATGGCAGAGGAGCTGGTACCGGTGCTGGCTGAGCTAGCTCCTGCGTGGGTGACCACTGCTCTGCAGGCTGGCAGTAGAACTGCAGGGCCACCTCTAGAGCTGGGAGGGGTGGAAGAGCATGCTGCTCTGCAATGCAGAGCCTGGGTGGCTGCAAGTCTCTGCAGGCTGCCACTGGCTCCCCCAACATTGGGCCACACACTTGTGTAACAGGGATGGGGAAAAGTCCAACAATTCAGGATGGTAGCGTAGCAGGAACTCCTGCAAGATTACGGCAGGCGGAAAATGCATAATGGCTTCCGCCTCCACGGTTCGGTGTGGAGAAGAAACACCCGAAACTCCTGCAGCAGCCGATCGACGTCTGAGTCCCACAATCAGCCACATAAAGGAGAGGGGCTATATACATTTTACATTTACATTTTAGTCATTTAGCAGACGCTCTTATCCAGAGCGACTTACAGTTAGTGAGTGTATACATTATTTTTTTATTTTTCATACTGGCCCCCCGTGGGAAATAGTCCATGCTGCGCTGTTGTCAGGTGTGGGGCTCCCACAGGCTCCATGGCGGGGGCATAATACAAATGGTGGTAGTCCACTGCGTACCCCGGAGCCATACACCACAGGACCGCAGGTGGGCTGTGTGGCAAGTATCCTGTGTGGTCTCTGTGGGCCGCCAGAGTGTAGTGGTGTCAGCAAAGTCACAAACCCGTCTCAAACGACCATGAAAGAGAGAGACACGGCTTTACGTGTTTTGCTGGTCAGGGAGTCTTTATTCACACACGAAAGGATGCACGGAGACGTAGAATGGTAGTGGTTCTGTAATGGACCGAAAAAGAGGTAATGAATTGACTGTACACAATACAATAACCACTAGCACAAGTAGAGCAACTAAGGTATTAAAGCCTCCATGCAGTCTTTCTAATTTCATTTTTAAATCATCACTTTATGTCCAATAAATCACTGTATATTTTTTATAATTTATTTCCCTGAGCCGTCTTGAGCCACTGAAATGCTCAGTCCGACTGTGTGGGCATGGGGATAGAAATTTGAATATATTTACATACAGCCCTGATTGGCTGTTAGAATCATCTAGAGCCCCTTACCCATTCAAAAAACAACAACAAAGGCACATGGTATTCAACCTGTTAGTTGGAGCTGGACCCTGAAAGCAACAAACTTCCACAGGTGTGTAGGTTACTTTTGTTTTATCATCAAAACAAAAGGCATACATCACACATCTTAATTTGGTATATCATTGTACTGTTTTCAATAGGTCACCAGAAGATGCATGGCAAGAACAGCCTGTTAGCATGGTGGACAATCCTGGCCTATACCTTGTCTATTCGTTGCAGAATGCCATGATTATCTACAGGGCAGACTATAGGCCTCTGCGTCTCAGAGGCCAAACACAGTAAGTAATACTAAGCTGTGTTAGGCCTCCGAGACTTAGAGGCCCATGGTATAATCTTCAGTATCATCACAAAGTATATTTCATCATTTTGCAAACGTATAACTCATTTAAATTTTCTAATGAGTGAACACTCTTGAATTACACATTTTGGAATGTTTTCTGTTGTTGAATGTAAATACAGAAACCAGATGAAATGAAAGGTTGTGGTCGTTCTTCATAATTTCTCGTCACTTATTTACATAACATAATAAACAGATCGTAAACAAGATTATAATGAAAGTCAAAATCATGGCATCTTTTGAAGTTATTGTTTTACAACGCAAGCTCTGGAAATTATAACTCACAGTAAAATGCATTTCTATTCTGATACTTCCTAAAGAATGAACAGCTGTTTTAGTGACTGATGGTACTTTTCTATAATTCTATGGAATTTTCTGTGATCAGACACTTTTTTACCCTGATAGTATATTAAACGCATATCTGCACCAAAACAAATTACAAAAATAATTGAGTCTTACATATGATAAGGAAAGACATACAGTGGGGGAAAAAATTATTTAGTCAGCCACCAATTGTGCAAGTTCTCCCACTTAAAAAGATGAGAGAGGCCTGTAATTTTCATCATAGGTACACGTCAACTATGACAGACAAAATGAGAAAAAAATATCCAGAAAATCACATTGTAGGATTTTTAATGAATTTATTTTGAAATGATGGTGGAAAATAAGTATTTGGTCAATAACAAAAGTTTCTCAATACTTTGTTATATACCCTTTGTTGGCAATGACAAAGGTCAAACGTTTTTTGTAAGTCTTCACAAAGTTTTCACACACTGTTGCTGGTATTTTGGCCCATTCCTCCATGCAGATCTCCTCTAGGGCAGTGATGTTTTGGGGCTGTCGCTGGGCAACACGGACTTTCAACTCCCTCCAAATATTTTCTATGGGGTTGAGATCTGGAGACTGGCTAGGCCACTCCAGGACCTTGAAATGCTTCTTACGAAGCCACTCCTTCATTGCCCGGGCGGTGTGTTTGGGATCATTGTCATGCTGAAAGACCCAGCCACGTTCCATCTTCAATGCCCTTGCTGATGGAAGGAGGTTTTCACTCAAAATCTCACGATACATGGCCCCATTCATTCTTTCCTTTACACGGATCAGTCGTCCTGGTCCCTTTGCAGAAAAACAGCCCCAAAGCATGATGTTTCCACCCCCATGCTTCACAGTAGGTATGGTGTTCTTTGGATGCAACTCAGCATTCTTTGTCCTCCAAACACGACGAGTTGAGTTTTTACCAAAAAGTTATATTTTGGTTTCATCTGACCATATGACATTCTCCCAATCCTCTTCTGGATCATCCAAATGCACTCTAGCAATCTTCAGACGGGCCTGGACATGTACTGGCTTAAGCAGGGGGACACGTCTGACACTGCAGGATTTGAGTCCCTGGCGGCGTAGTGTGTTACTGATGGTAGGCTTTGTTACTTTGGTCCCAGCTCTCTGCAGGTCATTCACTAGGTCCCCCCGTGTGGTTCTGGGATTTTTGCTCACCGTTCTTGTGATCATTTTGACCCCACGGGGTGAGATCTTGCATGGAGCCCCAGATCGAGGGAGATTATCAGTGGTCTTGTATGTCTTCCATTTCCTAATAATTGCTCCCACAGTTGATTTCTTCAAACCAAGCTGCTTACCTATTGCAGATTCAGTCTTCCCAGCCTGGTGCAGGTCTACACTTTTGTTTCTGGTGTCCTTTGACAGCTCTTTGGTCTTGGCCATAATGGAGTTTGGAGTGTGACTGTTTGAGGTTGTGGACAGGTGTCTTTTATACTGATAACAAGTTCAAACAGGTGCCATTAATACAGGTAATGAGTGGAGGACAGAGGAGCCTCTTAAAGAAGAAGTTACAGGTCTGTGAGAGCCAGAAATCTTGCTTGTTTGTAGGTGACCAAATACTTATTTTCCACCTTAATTTGCAAATAAATTCATTAAAAATCCTACAATGTAATTTTATGGATTTTTTTTCCTCAATTTGTCTGTCATAGTTGACGTGTACCTATGATGAAAATTACAGGCCTCTCTCATCTTTTTAAGTGGGAGAACTTGCAAAATTGGTGGCTGACTAAATACTTTTTTTCCCCACTGTACATGCCTGTTGCCGACCCCTGCCGTAGACTCTCAAGCATCGCTTCTGGGGGATGGCGAGTGGAGGGTGCAACTTAAAAGGATTGTGAGGTGCTGATAAGAGTCACATAACAATTGGACATATTTGTGCTGAATGAGTTACTGAATTTTCCTCTCTTTGTCTTCCTCTCCTTCTTCCTGTCCTTCTTTTTTCTGGCAGAGGGAACTACGAGATAAACAAACAGAGATGGTGAAAACAGTGGCAGCAGCAGAGAATGCCATCAACCAACTCCAAGTCAACACTGTCTTCTTTGAGGTACAGTATGCTGCAGTGTCCTTGTTACCTGTTTAAAGGATGATGTCAAATGCTAAGACTATGTCGACCCCTGACAATCCTGCTGATAGATGTGTCTGTTGACTGTTGTCTTGTCAACAAAGTGCTATGTAGCATTGCTTCATCAGAGTGTTTGCAGATTCCAGGTAACCCACACAGTGTGTGACACACAAACAGAGGCATGTCACAATGTCTCACAGGCAGTAAACAACACTGATGAACGAGAAAGAGAAAAACCTCTGATCTATAAGTCCCCAGGTATCGGAACCACCCACCCCAACCCAACAGGTTTACCCAGGCGTGGTAAAGGAAATCCACTGCTTTGTGTGGCCCACATCAAGGCTAGCATGCCAGGTACACTGGACCCACTCCAATTTGCCCACCGCTCCAACAGATCCACAGAAGATGCCATTTCCATCACTATTCACACAGCCAGTAACACATCTGGACATGAGGAACACCTATGTGAGAATGCTGTTCATTGACTACAGTTCAGCATTCAACACTATTGTTCCCTCCAAGCTCAACACCAAGCTCAGAGATCTGGGTCTGGACACCACCCTCTGCAACCGGATCCTAGACTTCCTGACGGGCAGACCACAGGCTGTATGGATTGGCAACAACACCTCCTCCACACTGACTCTTAACACAGGGGCCCCCCAGGGGAGTGTCCTCAGTCCTCTGCTGTTCACCCACGACTGCGTGGCTTTGCACGACACCAACTCCATCATCAAGTTTGCTGATGACACCACGGTTGTAGGCCTGAGAACCAACAACGACGGGTCAGCCTATAGGGAGGAGGTAAGTGAACTGGCATTGTGGTGTCATGACATCAACCTCCCCCTCAACGTCAGCAAAACAAAGGAGTTGATTATTGACTTCAGGAAGCAGAGGAGGGAACATGCCCCAATCCACATCAATGGGACTGCAGTAGAGAGTGTCACGAGTTTTAAGTTCCTCAGTGTCCACATCACAGAGGACTTGACATGGACCAAGAACACAACCACTCTTGTCAAGAGGGCGCAACAGCGTCTCTACTTCCTAAGGTGGCTGAAGAAATTCGGTAAGCCGCCCGTGTCCTCTCTAAATACTACCGCTGCACCATCGAGAGCATCCTGACCGGTTGTATCACGGCCTGGTAAGGGAATTGCTCTGTCCACGACCGCAAGGCCCTCCCAGTGGGTGGTGAAGACGACCCAGTACATCACTGAGACCGTACTCCCACCCATCCAGGAGATCTACTCGGAACGGTGCCTGAGGAAGACACGCAGTATCAAGGATCCCTCACACCCCAGCCACGAGCTGTTCACTCCCTTACCGTCGGGCAGACGGTATCAGAGCATGAGGTCTGATACCAACAGGCTCAGAGACCATTTCTATCTACAAGCCATCAGACTGCTGAACACTTGAACTGGACTGACACCACCTGCTCTGATTCTCCACACCTTAGTACATGTGCACTCACTGATGCACACACCCACACAGATATACACACACACACACATATACATTCATGCTACACACACATCACAGCTGCTGCTACCAGACTCTTATTATACTGCTCAGTTGATACACAGCTCCCCATTCCCCCCTTACCCAATACAAGTGTAAATATTGGACGATACAATAAATTGTGCCTTCCTGTATTATACTGATGCTAACATGTTTATTCTATTCTACTGAGCCATTTACTTTATGTTCCTATTCTTATCTTTTATTATTTCTTATTGTTGTTGCACTGTCGAGAAGGAACCTGCAAGTAAGCATTTTGTTGGATGATGTACTGTATACCATGCCTATCCCGTACATATGACTAATAAAACTTGAAACTCAAGTCATGCAGAGTAACATTTCTTGTCCCCAGGGATTGATTGTGTAAGCGGACAGTACATACCTGAAGCATAGAAAAATAATTACAAGAACAGACAAAGCCAATTGAATCCATAGCCGTAGGAAGTAGTTTGGGGTTGGGGTGCTGCTAGAAAAGAATGTTAGCCTGCGCTGAAGATGTCTATATTGGTCCGCTAATACAGGACTAGTAAAGGCCCAGTGCACTACTTTAGTGAACATTTTTAACTAAATGTATTTGAGTGTTTACCAGCATTTGTAACTTGAGTCTGATAATTATCTGTACAAAACAGTTAATCTGATAATACTTGTGGAATATAAAAATACTTGCTTGATATGTTTTCCAGTTTGTTGAATACTTTTCCAAATGCAACTTATTTCTATGTAAAAACTGAAATGGTCTATTCATTCCTTTTCCAATTTAGTAGACACTCTTATACAGTGCAATGTACAGTAGTGAGTGCATACATTTTTATATTGATCCCCCATGGGAATCGAACCCACAACTCTAGCATTGCAAGTGCCATGCTCTACCAACTGAGCCACATCATCACAAACCACTTGATGTCTCAATGTACTCAATTACTGTATTGTGCATTGTTTTTCTTCATGGTGATGGAAAGTCTACAGGTACAAACCTAGATGACCAGCCTATGTACAATACAGTAATGTACATTTACATTAAGTGGTTTGTATGGATGGTAAATTAATACTGCACAAAAAGGGGTAGTTTTCCATGTTATTTGATCAATAAAATATTTAACGATGTGGATGTTTTGTGTCTTTGCCCATAACTTCGCACCTTTTGATGTAAATATTTGAGGACAGGGTTTTGTTCTTTCTGGATTCCATTAGAATGACAATAGCAGAGAAAGAGACAGGGCAACAACTCTTACAATTCCAACTGTTGAATCCTGCAAGATACTGTTCTTAATCATACAACTATCTTTTTTGCCAAAGTGAAGATGTTGAAAAATGTTTTTGGCTCGTGCTACAGATGTCTATATCATCCGCTAATTCTAGTAAAGGTCAGTGCAATACTTTTGTGAAAAACAATATTTTCTAATAATAATACATTTTTTAATTCTGATTTTTCAGGGGTGCTGTAGCACCCTCAGCACCCCTTCCTCCCACGGCTATGATTGAATCTATTACCTATATCTATCTAACACTAATCAGCCGTCACCTCATCCCTTACGCCCATATACCTGATAATACATACGCAATTATGAAACTGACCCGAAAACATCTTTGGCATCTCCCCATCTAGAATTCGGTGACGGAGGTCCGTGAAGTGATTGACTGCCAGTTTACGGAGCTGCAGGCTGCGGTGGAGCGGGCCAAGAGAGAGGTAACCCTATTTATTGATTAAGTGGTATGCTTATCTGTTGAATGCATTTGATCTACTCTTTTTACCTGCTTTAAAAAATATATATTGTATGACATAACACTTTATGTATGTTTTTGCATATGAACCAAGATTTTCAAATAAACCTAAACCTGAACCTAAACTTAAAGGTGACAGAGATCCTGGAGGGAGAGAAGAAGCAGGCTCTCAGACAGGCCGAGGGGATCAAGGTACACCTGGAGAAGAAGTGCACTGAGCTGAAGAAGACACAAGAGCAGTTGAAAAAGCTCTCGAAGAACAAGAACGACGTGGACCTCCTACAGGTAAGGTGGTTCTCACCTGGTCTGGGGGTTTATGATGATTTATGATGGAGACTGAGATGGAGGTGGTGTCAAGGGAGTCGGTAGTGTTATTCACTCATTCATGGTTCTCATGGTGGTTAGCTTTGAAGTAGTGGCTGCACATACAGTTACTCGCAGGGGCCAAGAGCTCTTTGGTGGTTAATCATGAACTCTGAGAAGGTTGTGGTGCCACTGCCAAGTGACTCAGCAGTGTTATTCACTAACCTTAACTCAAGCCACAGTGCCGCTATCATACGTATACACTTTAATCATGAAACATGACTTCCTACAGGTAAGGTGGTTCCCTCCGGTCTGGTGGATTCTGAGATGGTTGTGTAGACAATGCCAAATGACTCCGTATTCATTCACAAACCTGAACTGTCGTATGTGCTGCGTAAGCGCTGCTATCTTACGTATTAACTTAATCATGAAACATGACTAATCTAAAGTTTTACCCGAGCCATGTTTCATCATTCGTTTTCACTCGGGCTGCCATTAACGATAAGTAAATATGTAAGCCTTGGACAAGCCAGAATGGCCCATAGGGACAGGCGCAAATCTCCTGTTTCTGTAGTGCGAGGCAGCTTGATGTATAAGTACATCCCATGGACAGGGCGCCATTAATGACACTTCATAATTAATTGCCAACGAGGTACAAAATAGTGAACGGAGCTGTGTTGTGTGTTTTACAGGAGTACTCTGAGTGGAAGAAGGACAGCCCTGACATGACCCTACCTGGGGTCTACATCGGCCTCATGGACCAGCTCAACTCCTTCAGCAGAGTGATTGTTACCTCCACACAGGAGCTGTGTGAGAAGCTGCTGTCCAACTACATAGAAACACTCAAAGAGAGCTGCAACAATGGTGAGTGGAAAAAACTGCCATGGCGGCTGGTGGCAAGCCTCTGCAAGTCCCGATCTATGCTTGTTTGCTGGGAAGGGTCAACACCACAGGAGGCTGCTGAGGGGAGAACGGCTCATAATAATGGCCAGAACGGAGCAAATGGAATGGCATCAAACACCTGGAAACCATGGGTTTGATGTATTTGATACCATTCCACTGATTCTGCTCCATTCATTACCACGAGCCCGCTCTCCCTAGTTAAGGTACCACCAACCTCCTGTGGTCAACACACCACGGCATCCCTCACCCTGGTCATACAGACAGGAGTAAGTAAACAGGAAGTGACAGTGTTACAAGAGGAAGAATAACACTTCAGCTTTGCGCTCCAGATAGCCAGGGACATCGTATGTGTTCATACTTGTCTACAGACCTGAGGAATACTTCAGACAGTGTGTCATAGGTGTAGAGCTCTGGTAACAACAGGTAGACTGAAGTCTCAGAAAGATAAAAACAGTTGAGAGTGTCTAATCTGGGACTGTCCATCGCTAGAGTGAAGCCCAGCTGTGAGCTGTGTGAGTCACCACATCATAAGGACAAAAAATGTCGCCTGAAAGAGATGAGTATTACAGTGAATATGTAGCAATGTGTTCTTTCTTGCCCAATGTCATATAGATGTAACCAAGATAGCGTAGCAGTGCGGTCGTGTTCTCTTGTGTGTCCATGTAAATAGCCTGTTTTTTGTATTTTTTTTGTATTTTACGTATATATTTCCCTATCACACTTTTCATCCTTCTACTAAATATACTTTCCTGCAACCCGCCTCACTCAATGTGGAACGGATTCTATTATTTACTCACCTTTATCTAGAATCTCCAGTTGAAACTAGCCAGCCAGCTAACTAGCTACTTGCTATTAGCCACTGTTAGCGGTTTTCACCCAGAACATCGGATTTTCTGCCGGAATAACTGAATCACTGGACCTTAACACCGGATCTAGCTAGCCGCAACCGAATGGATGTCGAATGGATGTTGCTGTAGGCTAATCACCACTGTCCCCGTAGCACCAGTTAGCCTTGAGCTAGCCCCGGCTATCTACCTCTCTGTCTACTGGACGGGAGTAGCCAGCTAACCAGCTAACTAGCTACTTGCTATTAGCCACCGTTAGCGGCTTTTTCTCCATTGTCCGTGGCCTGCACTACCTACCAGCCAGCTCTAGCCTGGACTATTATCGGCCAGTCTGCACTGTCTGCACAGCGAGTTATCGACCCAGAACCTATCAGATTTTCTGCCGGAATCACTGAATCACTGGACCTTTAACACTGGATAATCGCAACTAGCTAGCTGCAACCAAATGAACGCTGTTGTTGGCTAATCAGCCTTGAGCTAGCCTTGAGTCAAGCACATCTCCCGGCTATCTACCTCTCTGTCAAACGGACGGGACCTCCTAGAGTCGACACGGAGCCCTGCCGATCCATCACGACTGGTCTGCCGACGTAATCGTCTGTGGTTTCAACAGGCTTCCTGTTGCGATGACCACGAAGATCCATCTGCTAGCCCCGGCCCGCTAGCACACACAAACTACAACCGTGCTTCCTGCTCGCTGTGCTGAAGCACCAATTTGAACTGCTCTCGGACTCACATATTGCTGTTCACTGGACCTTATGATCACTCAGCTGCACAGCTGATGCCTGCTGGACTGTTCATTTACACGGTACCCTGTCCTGTTTATTCTGTTTAGCTTCAGCCCAAACTTTATCGCCATTACCAGTTGTTGTCTTAGCTCTCTCTAATAACACCTGTGATTGCTTTATGCCTCTCTCCCATGTCAATATGCCTTGCCTATTGCTGTTCCAGTTAGTTCTTATTATACAATTTCACTGTAGAACCCCAAGTCCCTCTCAAACTGCCTCAAATAGTTCCTTTGTTCCACCCCCCATACACGCCGAGACCGGCTCAATCAGTGCCTCCAGTGATGCTATCTCTTTCATTGATACCCAACGCTTAGGTTTACCTCCACTGTACTCATATCCTTCCATATCCTTATCTGTACATAATGCCCTGAATCTTTTCTACAACGCCCGGAAATCTGCCCCCTTAATTCTCTGTACCCAACGCACTAGAAGACCAGTTCTTAAAGCCTTTAGCCATATCCTTATTCTAGTCCTCCTCTGTTCCTCTGGTGATGTAGAGGCTAACCCAGGCCCTGCAGCCCCCAGTATCACTCATACTCCTCAGGAGCTATCATTTGTTGACTTCTGTAACCGTAAAAGCCTTGGTTTTCTGCACGTTAACATCAGAAGTCTCCTTCCTAAGTTTGAGTTATTCACTGTGTTAGCACACTCCGCCAACCCTGATGTTCTAGCAGTGTCTGAATCCTGGCTTAGGAAGGCCACCAAAAATTCTGAAATTTCCCTCCCCAACTACAACATTTTCTGTCTAGATAGAACTGCCAAAGGGGGTGGAGTTGCAATCTACTGTAGAGATAGCCTGCAGAGCTCTATCATACTATCCAGGTCTGTGCCCAAACAGTTTGAGCTTCTACTTCTAAAAATCCACCTTTCCAGAAATAAGTCTCTCACTGTTACCGCTTGCTACAGACCCCCCTCAGCCCCCAGCTGTGCCCTGGACACCATATGTGAATTGATTGCCCCCCATTTGTCCTCAGAGTTCGTACTGCTTGGTGACCTAAATTGGGATAGGCTTAACACCCCGGCCATCCTACAATCCAAACTAGATGCCCTCAATGTCACACAAATTATCAACGAACCTACCAGGTACAACCCTAAATCCGTAAACATGGGTACCCTCATAGATATCATCCTAACTAATTTACCCTCTAAATACACCTCCGCTGTCTTCAACCAGGATCTCAGCGATCACTGCCTTATTGCCTGCATCCGTAACGGGTCCGCGGTCAAACAACCACCCCTCATCACTGTCAAACACTCCCTAAAACACTTTAGCGAGCAGGCTTTCCTAATTGACCTGGTCCAGGTATCCTGGATGGATATCGATCTCATTCCGTCAGTAGAGGATGCCTGGTTGTTCTTTAAAAGTAATTTCCTCTCAATCTTAAATAAACATGCCCCATTCAAAAAATACAGAACTAAGAACAGATATAGCCCCTGGTTCTCCTCAGACTTTACTGCCCTTGACCAGCACAAAAACATCCTGTGGCGTACTGCATTAGCATCAAATAGCCCCCGCGATATGCAACTTTTCAGGGAAGTTAGGAACCAAAAGTTGCATATCGCGGGGGCTATTTGATGCTAATGCAGTTAGGAAAGCAAAGGCTAACTTTTTCAAACAGAAATTTGCATCCTGTAGCACTAACTCCAAAAGGTTTTGGGACACTGTAAAGTCCATGGAGAATAAGAGCACCTCCTCCCAGCTGCCCATTGCACTGAGGCTAGGAAACACTATCACCACCGATAAATCTACAATAATCGAGAATTTCAACAAGCATTTTGCTACGGCTGGCCATGCTTTCCACCTGGCTACCACTACCCCGGCCACCAGCTCTGCACCCTCCGCTGCAACTTGCCCATGCCCCTCCCCCGCTTCTCCTTCACACAAATTCAGACAGCTGATGTTCTGAAAGAGCTGCAAAATCTGGACCCCTACAAATCATCTGGGCTAGACAATCTGGACCCTTTCTTTCTAAAACTAGCCGCCGAAATTGTCGCAACCCCTATTACTAGCCTGTTCAACCTCTCTTTCGTAACGTCTGAGATCCCCAGAGATTGGAAAGCTGCCGCGGTCATCCCCCTCTTCAAAGGGGGTGACACTCTAGATCCAAACTGTTACAGACCTATATCCATCCTGCCCTGCATTTCGAAAGTTTTTGAAAGGCAAGTTAACAAACAGATCACCGACCATTTCGAATCCCACCGTACCTTCTCCGCTATGCAATCCGGTTTCCGAGCTGGTCATGGGTGCACCTCAGCCACGCTCAAGGTCCTAAACGATATTATAACCGCGATCGATAATAGACAGTACTGTGCAGCCGTCTTCATCGACCTGGCGAAGGCTTAAGACTCTGTCAACCACCGCATTCTTATTGGCAGACTAAATAGCCTTGGTTTCTCAAATGACTGCCTCGCCTGGTTCACCAACTACTTCTCAGATAGAGTTCAATGTGTCAAATCGGAGGGCCTGTTGTCTGGACCTATGGCAGTCTCTATGGGGGGCCACAGGGTTCAATTATTGGGCCGACTCTTTTCCTCCGTGTATATCAATGATGTTGCTCTGCTGCTGTGACTCTCAGATCCACCTCTACGCAGACGACACCATTTTGTATACATCTGGCCCTTCATTTGACACTGTGTTAACAAACCTCCAAACGAGCTTCAATGCCATACAACACTCCTTCAGTAGCCTCCAACTGCTCTTAAACACTGGTAAACTAAATGCATGCTCTTCAATCGAACGCTGATGGCACCACCGCCCACCCGACTAGAATCACTACTCTCGAGGTTCGACATGCCCTCGTAAAACTGACTATCCTACCGATCCTTGACTTCGGCGATGTCATTTACAAAATAGCCTCCCAACACTCTACTCAGCAAATTGGATGAAGTCTATCACAGTGCCATCCGTTTTGTCACCAAAGCCCCATATACTACCCACCACTGTGACCCTGTACGCTCTTGTCTGGTGTTCAACGTCTGGTGTTCAACCTTCCCAAGTTCTCTCACGTCACCCCCCTCCTCCGCACACTCCACTGGCTTCCAATTGAAGCTCGCATCCGCTACAAGACCATGGTGCTTGCCTTTGGAGCAGTGAGGGGAACGGCACCCCTGTACCTTCAGGCTCTGATCAGTCCCTACACCCAAACGAGGACATTGCGTTCATCCACCTCTGGCCTGCTGGCTCCCCTTCCTCTGCGGAAGCACAGCTCCCGCTCAGCCCAGTCAAAACTGTTCGCTGCTCTGGCACCCCAATGGTGGAACAAGCTCCCTCACGACGCCAGGACAGCGGAGTCACTCACCACCTTCCGGAGACATTTGAAACCCCACCTCTTTAAGGAATACCTGGGATAGGCTAAAGTATTCCTTCTAACCCCCCCCCCCCCCCCCCCCCCCCCCCCCCCCCCCCCAAATTGTAAAGTGGTTATCCCACTGGCTATAGGGTGAACGCACCAATTTGTGAGTCGCTCTGGCTAAGAGCGTCTGCTAAATGACGTTAATGTGCCCTTGAGCAAGGCACTTAACCCTAATTGCTCCTGTAAGTCGCTCTGGTTAAGAGCGTCTGCTAAATGACTAAAATGTAAATGTAAATGTTGTTGGCTGGTCCTCACTACATATTCGTCGCCAAACCCACTGGCTCCAGGCCATCTATAAATCACTGCTAGGCAAATCCCCGCCTTATCTTAGCTCATTGGTCACCATAGCAACACCCACCCGTAGTATGCGCTCCAGCAGGTATATCTCAATCAATCAATCAATTTTATTTTATATAGCCCTTCTTACATCAGCTAATATCTCGAAGTGCTGTACAGAAACCCAGCCTAAAACCCCAAACAGCTAGTAATGCAGGTGTAGAAGCACGGTGGCTAGGGAAAAACTCCCTAGAAAGGCCAAAACCTAGGAAGAAACCTAGAGAGGAACCAGGCTATGAGGGGTGGCCAGTCCTCTTCTGGCTGTGCCGGGTGGAGATTATAACAGAACCATGCCAAGATGTTCAAAAATGTTCATAAGTGACAAGCATGGTCAAATAATAATCAGGAATAAATCTCAGTTGGCTTTTCATAGCCGATCATTAAGAGTTGAAAACAGCAGGTCTGGGACAGGTAGGGGTTCCATAACCGCAGGCAGAACAGTTGAAACTGGAATAGCAGCAAGGCCAGGCGGACTGGGGACAGCAAGGAGTCACCACGGCCGGTAGTCCCGACGTATGGTCCTAGGGCTCAGGTCTCTCAGTTGGCTTTTCATAGCCGATCATTAAGAGTTGAAAACAGCAGGTCTGGGACAGGTAGGCCGCCATTCCTTCCGGTTCCTTGCTCTGGCCAAGGCATGGAACACAATTGCAAAACATCTCTGAATCTGGAGACTCTTGGCCGCCATTCCTTCCGTTCTTCTTGCTGCCAATGACTGGAACAAATTGCAAAAATCTCTGAAGCTGGAGACTCTTATCTCCCTCACTAAATTTAAGCATCAGTTGTCAGAGCACCTTACTGATCACTGCAGCTGTACACAGCCCATCTGAAATTAGCCCACCCAACTACCTCATCCCCATATTGTTATTTATTTTGCTCATTTGCACCCCAGTATCTCTATTTGCACATAATCTCTTGCACATCTATCATTCCAGTGTTAATACTAATTGTAATTATTTTGCACTATAGCCTATTTATTGCCTTACCTCCATAACTTCCTACATTTGCACACACTGTATATATATATATTTTCTGTTGTATTTTTGACTTTATGTTTTGTTTTACCCCATATGTAACTCTGTTGTTGTTTTTATCGCACTGCTTTGCTTTATCTTGGCCAGGTCGCAGTTGTAAATGAGAACTTGTTCTCAACTGGCTTACCTGGTTAAATAAAGGTTAAATAAAAAAATAATTAAAAAAATGGTCCTTGCAAAAAAAAAATTTTTTGGCTACATTCAAATTGAAACTTCATGCCTGGGAGTTAAAAAGTGAAGTAGGCCAATGTGATTATTTACCCTAAAACATCTTACATTTCTCTCTCTCTACTCATCAGACAAGATTATAAAAACCACAGTCCATGAAATAATTGCAGACAAACACATGACTGTGCCAGACCCAAAGACGCGGGATGACTTCCTAAAGTGTAAGTCTCTTCTATCACAGTCAGGTCCATACAGAAACAAAACAATGCTTCAAATCACTTGAACACTCATATTTTATGTCAGTATTGTTGTTTTGGATCTGTAAAGTTAGCCTTGCGTAAGTTGTTGATCCTGTTTTGCTATTCTCTCTCATTACTGTTATGTTGTTGTTATTCTCTTCCACACTGTGCAGATGCCGCTCCTGTGAGTTTTGACGCAGACACAGCCCATAAGTTCCTGCGTCTGACTGAGGAAAACAGGAAGGTGACCAACACCACACCCTGGCAACAACCGTACCCCAGTGTCCTTGAGCGCTTTGAGAACTGGCGCCAGGTACTGGCCACAGAGAGCTTCTATGTCGGTCGACACTATTTCGAGGTGGAAATGAGTGGTGAGGGCACGCACGTCGGACTCACCTACAAGAGTATCGATCGCAAGGGCCCAAAGAACAACAGCTGCATTACCGGCAATGACTTCTCATGGTGTCTACAATGGAATGGCCGCAGCTTCTCTGCCTGGCACAGTGATGTGGAGACCCCTCTGAAAGTGGAGAAGTTCACACGTATTGGGGTCTATGTGGACTACAGCTGTGGCCTACTGGCCTTCTATGGGGTGGATGATGGCGTCGGCATGACCCTCATCCACAAATACAAGGCTGAGTTTCTAGAGCCCCTCTACCCAGCCTTCTGGCTGTCAAAGAAGGAGAACGTGGTAATACTTGTTGGACCTGGGGAGCCACTGACACCGAAAATCTCCTCTCCCCCTAACTCACCCCCAAACACCGATGTAGCACCCTCCAGCCGTTTCACAGTGTCTTCTGTTGTTGATCAGTGATCAATGTGTCAGTAGTACATTTACCATGTCAAGTTTAAGAAGTTTCAGAATGCAAGAAGTAATGGACAAGGAAACACATTGGCCGGCCTCACACAGTGTACTTATACTTACACTACCAGTCAAAAGTTTAGACACACCTACTCATTCAACGGTTTTTCTTTATTTTTCACTATTTTCTACATTGTAGAATAATAGTGAAGACATCAAAACAATGAAATAACACAGATGGAATCATGTAGTAACCAAAAAAGTGTTAAACAAATCAAAATATATTTTATTTGAGATTCTTCAAATAGCCACCCTTTGCCTTGATGACAGCTTTGCACACTCTTTGCATTCTCTTTGCATTCTCTCAACCAGCTTCACCTGGAATGCTTGTCCAACAGTCTTGAAGGAGTTCCCACTATGGCTATTTGAAGAATCTCAAATATAACATACGTTTAGATTTGTTTAACACGTTTTGGGTTACTACATGATTCCATGTGTTATTTCATAGTTTTGATGTCTTCACTATTATTCTACAATGTAGAAAATAGTAAAAAGAAAGAAAAACCCTTGAATGAGTAGGTGTGTCCAAACTTTTGATTGGTACTATATACAGTTGAAGTCGGAAGTTTACACGTCAGCCAAATACATTTAAAATCATTTTCTCACAATTCCTGACATTTAATCCTAGTAAAAATTCCCTGTTTTAGGTAAGTTAGGATCACCACTTTATTTTAAGAATGTGAAATGTCAGAATAATAGTAGAGAGAATGATTTCTTTCAGCTTTTATTTCTTTCATCACATTCCCAGTGGGTCAGAAGTTTACATACACTCAATTAGTTTTTGGTAGCATTGCCTTTAAATTGTTTAAACTTGGGTCAAACGTTTCGGGTAGCTTTCCACAAGCTTCCCACAATAAGTTGGGTGAACTTTGGCCCATTCCTCCTGACAGAGCTGGTATAACTGAATCAGGTTTGTAGGCCTCCTTGCTCCCACATGCTTTTTCAGTTCTGCCTACATATTTTCTATAGGATTGAGGTCAGGGCTTTGTGATGACCACTCCAATACCTTGACTTTGTTGTCCTTAAGCCCTTTTGCCACAACTTTGGAAGTATGCTTGGGGTCATTGTCCATTTGGAAGACCCATTTGCGACCAAGCTTTAACTTCCTGACTGATGTCTTGATGTTGCTTCAATATATCCACATAAATTGCCTTCCTCATGATGTCCCTCCTGCAGCAAAGCACCCAAACAGCATGATGCTGCCACCCCCGTTCTTCACGGTTGGGATGGTGTTCTTTGGCTTGCAAGCTACCCCCTTTTTCCTCCAAACATAACGATGGTCATTATGGCCAAACAGTTCTATTTTTGTTTCATCAGACAAGAGGACATTCCTACAAAAAGTATGATCTTTGTCCCCATGTGCAGTTGCAAACCGTAGTCTGGCTTTTTATGGTGGTTTTGGAGCAGAGGCTTCTTCCTTGCTGAGCGGCCTTTCAGGTTATGTTGCTATAGGACTCGTTTTACTGTGGATATAGATACCTTTGTACCTGTTAGCTCCAGCATCTTCACAAGGTCCTTTGCTGTTGTTCTGGGATTGATTTGCACTTTTCGCACCAAAGTACGTTAATCTCTAGGAGACAGAACGCATCTCCTTCCTGAGCGGTATGACGGCTGCGTGGTCCCATGGTGTTTATACTTGCGTACTATTGTTTGTACAGATGAGCGTGGTACCTTCAGGCGTTTGGAAATTGCTCCCAAGGATGAACCAGACTTGTGGAGGTCTACAATTTTTTTTCTGAGGTTTTGGCTGATTTCTTTTGATTTTCCCATGATGTCAAGCAAAGAGGCACTGAGTTTGAAGGTAGGCCTTGAAATACATCCACAGGTACACCTCCAATTGACTCAAATTATGTCAATTAGCCTATCAGAACCTTCTAAAGCCATGACATCATTTTCTGGAATTTTCCAAGCTGTTTAAAGGCACAGTCAACTTAGTGTATGTAAACTTCTGACCCACTGGAATTGTGATACAGTGAATTATAAGTGAAATAATCTGTAAACAATTGTTGGAAACATTACTTGTGTCACGCACAAAGTAGATGTCCTAACCGACTTGCCAAAACCATAGTTTGTTAATAGGAAATTTGTGGAGTGGTTGAAAAACAAGTTTTAATGACTCCAGTGTATGTAAACTTCCGACTTCAACTGTAAGTATTCAGACCCTTTGCTATGAGACTCGAAATTGAACTCAGGTGCATCCTGTTTCCATTGGTCATCCTTGAGATGGTTCTACAACTTGATTGGAGTCCATCTGTGGTACATTCAATTGATTGGACATGATTTGGAAAGGCACACACCTGTATATATTTTAAATTTTAGTCATTTAGCAGACGCTCTTATCCAGAGCGACTTACAGTTAGTGCATACATTATTATTTTTCATACCCCCTGTGGGAATCAAACCCACAACCCTGGCGTTGCAAACGCCATGCTCTACCAACTGAGCTACATCCCTGCCGGCCATTACCTCCCCTACCCTGGACGACGCTGGGCCAATTGCGCGCCGCCCCATGGTTCTCCCGGTCGCGGCCTGCTACGACAGAGCCTGGATTCGAACCAGGATCTCTAGTGGCACAGCTAGCACTGCGATGCAGTGCCTTAGACCACTGCGCCACTCGGGATATATATATATAAGGTCCCACAGTTGACAGTGCATGTCAAAGCAAAAACCAAGCCATGAGGTCGAAGGCGTTGTCCGTAGTGCTCCGAGACAGGATTGTGTCGAGGCACAGATCTGGGGAAGGGTACCAAAAAATTGCTGCAGCATTGAAGGTCCCCAAGAACCACCAAGTCTCTTCCTAGAGCTGGCCGCACGGCCAAACTGAGCAATCGGGGGAGAAGGGCCTTGGTCAGGGAGGTGACCAAGAACCCGATGGTCACTCTGACAGAGCTCTATAGTTCTTCTGTGGAGATGGGAGAACCTTCCAGAAGGACAACCATCTCTGCAGCACTCCACCAATAAGGCCTTTATGGTAGAGTGGCCAGACGGAAGCCACTCCTCAGTAAAAGGCACATGACAGCCAGCTTGGAGTTTGCCAAAAGGCACCTAAAGACTCTCAGACCATGAGAAACAAGATTCTCTGGTCTGGGCAGCCATGCTGCCCTGTTCTGAGCCAATTGCAATTTTCCTAACTCCCTCTTTGTGGCACTTGACCACACAACTGAACAGTAGTCCAGGTGTGACAAAACTAGGGCCTGTAGGACCTGCATTGTTGATAGTGCTGTTAAGAAGGTAGAGCAGCACTTTATTATGGACAGACTTCTCCCCATCTTAGCTACTGTTGTATCAATATGTTTTGACCATGACAGTTTACAATCCAGGATTACTCCAAGCAGTTCAGTCACCTCAACTTGCTCAATTTCCACATTATTTATTACAAGATTTAGTTGAGGTTTAGGGTTTAGGGAATGATTGGTCCCAAATTCAATATCTTTAGTTTTCGAAATATTTGACTAACTTATTCCTTGCCACCCATTCTGAAACTAACTGCAGCCCTTTGTTAAGTGTTGCAGTCATTTCAGTCGCTGTAGTAGCTGACATGTATAGTGTTAAGTCATCCGCATACAAAGACACACTGGCTTTACTCAAGGCCAGTGGCATGTCGTTAGTAAAGATTGAAAAATGTAAGGGGGCTAGACAGCTGCCCTGGGGATTTCCTGATTCTACCTGGATTATGTTGGAGAGTTTTCAATTAAAGAACACCCTCTGTGTTCTGTTAGACAGGTAACTCTTTATCCACATTATAGCAGGGGGTGTAAAGCCATAACACATACGTTTTTCCAGCTGCTGACTATGATCGATAATGTCAAAAGCCACACTGAAGTCTAACAAAACAGCCCCCACAATATTTGTATCATCAATTTCTTTCAGCCAATCATCAGTCATTTGTGTAAGTGCTTTGCTGGTTGAATGTCCTTCCCTATAAGCGTGCTGAAAGTCTGTTGTCAATTTGTTTACTGTAAAATAGCATTGTATCTGGTCAAACACAATTTTTTCCAAAGGTTTACTAAGGGTTGGTAACAGGCTGATTGGTCAGCTATTTGAGCCAGTAAAGGGGGCTTTACTATTCTTAGGTAGCGCAATAACTTTAGCTTCCCTCCAGGCCTGGGGGCACACACTTTCTAGTAGGTTTAAATTGAAAATATGGCAAATACGAGTGGCAATATCGTCCGCTATTATCCTCAGTAATTTTCCATCCAGATTGTCAGACCCCGGTGGCTTGTCATTGTTGATAGACAACAATACATTTTTCTCTTCCACACTCACTTTACGGAATTCAAAATTACAACGCTTGTCTTTCATAATTTGGTCAGATATACTTGGATGTGTAGTGTCAGCGTTTGTTGCTGGCATGTCATGCCTAAGTTTGCTAATCTTGCTAATGAAAAAATTATTAAAGTAGTTGGCAATATCAGTCGGTTTTGTGATGATTGAGCCATCTGATTCAATGAATGATGGAGCTGAGTTTGCCTTTTTTCCAAAAAGCTTTTTACTATCATTCTTTGTCATTTATCTTTGTTTCATAGTGTAGTTTCTTCTTCTTTTTATTCAGTTTAGTCACATGATTTCTCAATTTGCAATACGTTTGCCAATCGGTTGTGCAGCCAGACTTATTTGCCATTCCTTTTGCCTCATCCCTCTCAACCATACAATTTTTCAATTCCTCATCAATCCACTGGGATTTAACCTCTAGGGATCGGTGTCTAACGTGCGCTAATGTGATTAGCATGGCTGTTGTAAGTAACAGCAAACTTTCCAGGAAATAGACATGTCTTATATGGGTAGAAAGATTACATTCTTGTTAATCTAACTGCACTGTCCAATTTACAGTAGCTATTACAGTGAAAAAAATACCATGCTATTGTTTGAGGAGAGTGCACAACAATAAAGAACTTAGCACGGAAAATGGTTTGATACATTCACCTCTGAAGGTAAATAATGTGCTTACGTTC